AAGTATACAGCAATTACTTGGCAAATTCAGCAAAACTCTTATTCGGTATTTAGCACGAAATTTATGCCTCAGAAAAGAACCCTAGAAATAATTTATGCTCTGCAATCTGATAGAACGAAAATATCTTACTTAAAATCCAAATAAATTGGAAAGAGATAAAAATGTAATCTATTTCATCAATCAACGCATTCAGATGTGAATTCACATGTTGATATTCCCTATGAGCATATAACATGCTAGACACATTCCAGCAAAATGTGAAAAATAGAAATATATAGATAATCTCACCTCCTGAACATCGTAGGGAGGAGGGTCCTCAATAAAATTATACTAGTCCTCACTTATCAGGTTTATCTTGTGAACTTCTATGATATCAAGATGTCTGAAAGAAAGCGATATTCACGAAACCAAACAAAAAAAAAAGTAAAGTTGAAATCTTACCGGAAAGAGCATTGAATCAAAACACACGATTATCGATTCTATATACGCCAACAAAAAGGAGACTAGCAAATCTGCTATTCAACTGAATTTCTCTAATTTTTCAGAAATCAGCAAAATCCTCAAAAATTCGGAAAGAACCACTAATATGGCGTATTCACTATCAAAAATCTCAAAGCTTTCTCCCCGATTCTGATTTTTCATCCAAGATGACCAAAGATCGACAACTCGCTATCATCAAAATTCCCTGAGAAAGATATCGCGCCAAAATCTGCGTATTTTCAGCCTATTTATAAAAACAACAGGTATATGAAATTGAACGTTTCATTAGTTGGTATTTCATCAATCGCTTAACAATGCTGGAATCCGAAATGATTCGTAAATTACTTGCATGTTCCTATCCTTCTCGTTTTCAATAAAAATTATATTCACATATCGCAAGTGATGGTCTGTGATCGACCGACGTCCGAGTCGCGCATGCTAACGACGATAATTTTCGACGTACGAGACAGGTGACAATCAGGTGACAATAAATAATTCGAAGATCTGACGAGATGGAATGACTGAAATATAAACAAACTGCTCAACAGGTGCATAACTCGAGGAAAGAAATCAATCACCAACATATCCAATCAATGATAAACCAGATACATTTAATACAATTAATAGGTATGTGATTATGCGTAACCGTTGCAGGAATATAACCAGGTGAGTTTATATTGATTCGACGACGTGATAGAATTCTGTTCACAAAGTAAATAGTTCATTGTTTTATTTCATTTACAGGTATCCAGCTCAATGATACATGATGTCTAAGTTGAATGAAACAATAGGTGGTGTAATAACTTTTCGTATTACGGAGCCAATGAATTTCGATGATGAAGACGGTGGTATATGATGAGAAAATGAATCTTCCTAGAACAATGTAATTCTTCGAAATTCCTCTCACACTTCAGATTTTTATGAACGAGAATCAAGAAATGACGAATAGCAGAGAGTGATAGTATTGAATTGATTAATAGTGTGCCAAAGTGACCATTAAATAAAATACCAAAATCATTGTTGTTTTTATCAAAATTTTTAGGATAAACATCTAGAATTGACATTGAATTGATGTGAGTATTACCTAATTGTGAGCATAATCCTTGTGACATTTTAGCCTGTTACAACAGGTATATCGATGCCAGTTACTTTCACTGAATTGGATAAATAAAAAAAATGTATATCATCATAAGCGCTGTTTAATTGCGAACACGTTGATATAGGGTTGTCTGCGGAAATTCCGGTCAATTTCAACGCGCGTGGAAGTGTGTGACAGAGAGATCCGAGGTAAGTATACTGTGTAATAATAAAGGACCCAACATCGCAGTCGCTTGTGATGGGACCCTGAATAGTAGAAAGTGCGCATGCTCGGTGTGTAAACTATGGAGGGTAGAGGTACCTCTACTACCCTTCATATAGTAAACAGTGCGTGTTATTTTGGAGCAACTGATATTTCAGTAGCAAAAAAAAAAAATTAATTAATTACATAATTAATAATTAAATATATTTAATATAATACTAATATATAAAAACAATATAATATCAATATATTGCGTTATAACCATAATAATATATCTATAATCTATAATAGACAATAAAAATATAAATTACTTACTTTGAAGATTTTTTTTGCTCTTTCTGGAAATAGAAACAAAGTGGACCGCCAAAAATTCAGATTAAGAAATAAAAAAAAGATGGACTAGACATCTTGTATTACGATTTGAAATTTTATTAAAAAACAGTATAAATACAAAGATAATATTAATGAAAAATAAATTCTAATTAATATTTTCTATTTAATATCTGATTCATCAGAAGTATCATTTTGACTCTCGAATTCGTCTGATTCATTAGATTCTTCCTCATTTGCTTCCATTTCGACAATGTCCTGGATTTTCAAAGGAGTTTGATCTCCGATAAAACCTGTTGGTTTTAAGAAATCATCAAAATGCCAACCATAGTTTTCAGGATTTGACTTCGCACACTTCGCACACTTTTTACTATTCAGGGTCCCATCACAAGCGACTGCGATGTTGGGTCCTTCATTATTACACAGTAAACTTACCTCGGACCTCTCTGTCACACACTTCCACGCGCGTTGAAATTAAAATCTTTAAAATTCGCAAACCCCTAATAGGACCGGAATTTTCGCAGACAACCCTATATCAACTTGTTCGCAATTAAACAGCGCTTTTGATGATATAAATTTTTTTTAATTATCCAATCCAGTGAAAGTAACTGGCATCGATATACCTGTGTTACCTGACAACCCAGTAGTTCGCCCAGGTAAATAGTAGACAACCCAACGGCTGCACATTCTATACGTTTTATACTTTCAGTCAGGACAAATTTTTTTTATTATCCTGATGTTGCAACATTTAATTAAAAATCACTTTTCGAAAAATAATTACAAATAGTCCGCCCAGGATTTTTTCAGCGAACCTATTTTTAATATGTTTTCTAATATACTAAATTCATGATAAAATATATTTCGTTCTATTATCAGCTCGGTGAAGGTCGATTTAGGTTCGGATCTTAGACTATTAATAATAGACGAGATAATTTGATGACAATCAGAAGTTCGTTCCTTGGTGACAGTTCGAAGCAACGAGCATGAGGAATTTGTCATGAAGTTGTTAAGGTCGATCGTGTTGTCATAGTGACTGAGAATTGCACTGAATGCAGTTATCAAAATCTATTTCCATAATTATCATCTCGATACACACAGAATTTCCAATACGCATAGTAGTTCTGTCTCTCTCACCCTATTTGACGTCTACCTGTTCACACGTTACCGATTTCTCAATGAAGATTATGGAGATCAATAAGGTTTTAGTTTTTTCATAATATGCAAGATGATATATAGACACGACTCTGAATGGTTTTAGTAGTTTCTCATTATACTGGAATCAATGAACACATATAATAAGTGATATAATTCCTAGAGGCCTAAATTATTCGCATTTATGTCTCTCATTGGAATAAATCAATGAATATACAGAATGTTTTCAAAACTGAAGCATTTCTTGAGAGGATATAGGAGTCATTGTAATAGACAGATCCACCGACTATCGCTCCATATGAATTTTGAGAAGATTGTATTCAGTTCCAGTGCGTACGAATCTTTGTTTGGTCATTACTCGACTGATCCCTTCTTTCCTTACTGCCGTCCACAGTTGGATTTTGTTTTTCTACCGCTTATCATCGGATCCGCTTCTTCGATCGTTTTTCTATGGATTGTTGAACAATGGCACACGTTTACGAGAATGATGAACATAGTGACATGCCTTCAATTCAGAATGAGTGTCGCCATAATGCAGACGCAGCATTTTGTTTGTACGCGAAGTGATTTCCGTTAATAAAGCATCCATCACCCCGATAGTTATGTGCAGTCTCGTGGCCCAGGGTGTTTGAAGAAACCAAGAGGAGTATATATGTGGAAAGGCGTGTATCACCAGAAAACACTGAAATTGCGGAAGACATTCTGAGATTAATTGATGAAGATTAATGTGTACCAGGTCAGTGGTAGGCCAAGTCAGAGTGACTCGCAGTAGAGTATGGAAAATAGTGAGACAAAAACAATTATCGAAAAGTACGAGCTTCACCACTTCAAGATCTGCGAGGGTTGAATTCCATCTATGTTTTATCGATCAGTCACATAACAACTACCAACAAAATTCATTTTGGCTACAATTATACGGACTAGGATGAAAAACCTATTTGGGCAAGAAAAAAATCTTCACGATATGCGCCAATTACATTTCTAGCAGAGATTTTCGTTCGAGCTGGGCTTGTCGATAGCATGCTTATCGGACAATTTCTTTCCACCCCAAATGTCGGATGAAAATTATTCAGAATTTTCAAAAAATAGTTTGCCCGAGAAACTGTGAATTTGTGACTTCAAATGAAAGGAAGGTAAGTTCGCGGACATTAAGACAATGTGTTTCTTGGCTTGCACGTTTCTTTGACATATATCCATTCGATTCCGCTCGTTGGGGTCATTTGAAATAAATTATGTGTCGTGGGAAGGAGTGAATATCGTGGTAGATTCGAGACAACAAATCGAAAACACTTGTGAAGTAGTTTTTGCCGCATTTATTGTTGCGCAATGCAATACTTTGCGCATATAAAATGAATGATGATAAACAGGACCGTTAAAGGTCCAATTTTATCGGTGAGTTTTTGAACTTGGTTATATTCGCGATATTGCTATTTTGACGAGTCTTTCATCGTGTTAAAAAATCTCTCAATTTCGAAAATACCATGTATATCATCTAATATGCTTGTAAATATAATATTGAATGAATAAATGACTAAATCGATGAATAAATCAAATAATCCGTCATTTTATTGAATTATTTAATGTTAGAACAGCATTAAAATTTGTAAATTCGGAAATTTTTCGGATAATTGCTCCATAGGAGTGTCATCAAGATAAATAGAGCCCACTCATGCACAGTTTAGACTGTACAAAAGTACCTACTTGTTATCACTATTTTATTCAAGTACACTATAGTCACCTTCGCAGTGAGACTTGAGTCCTGTTTGTCTATACCCCTCGTTGCAGATACACTGGTAAGTTCCCATCATATTCTCGCAAACACCGTTGGAGCATATTCCACTGGACCTCGAGCACTCGTCGATATCTTTGCAGGAATCCTTGTCCGGCGACAGCTCATGACCAATGGGACAGTCGCATTTGTAGGAGCCTTCTGTGTTCAAACATCTACCGCCTCTGCATAAGCCCGGAATTTCCTCACATTCATCGATATCTGTGGAAAAATTGCATGCCATCAGAAAAGTGCCAGCAGCAGCCAATTTGAGCCAGAACACCCATTGATCATCTACTCTAGAGTGACGCTACATTTTCAACATTCAAGTGAGCTTAAAATGTCAAGGCTCTCTGATCCACTCTTTTCTCACTTCTTTGGCGTTTCACGGTCCTTGAATTAGTTGAATTGTTAGTCATGTCAAGGCACTCATCTGATCTACTGTAAGATGTCGAATGAGATACTTACCCATACATATTTGCATAGGTGCCATAGTCCTGTATCCTTCATTGCAGTCGCAAATAAAGTCTCCTGGAATGTTCTTGCAAACGCCATTGCCACAAACGTTTTCTGTTGTCAGGTTGCATTCATCGATATCTGTTGAGACGATCAAGAATGGGGAATCAAGATAAAAGCTTTGGAATATAAAATATCAAATATATAGGTACCAAAATTTAGGATTCATCAAAAAATCGAATGTAGTTGGTAATTTATAAACAGCTCGGAAGATACGAACAGAGAAGATATAACACAAATATCATTTTTTTCCGATTGACATTGAAAGTGGCTTTTTGATGGAACTTTCTCTGTCTCAGAGAAGATGTTTTTCTGTCTAGTAAAACAAATAACTATCAAAGAGCATATATAGGCTTTCTGAATTCACATCAACTGAGTATTTGATGAGTTTACTGATCAGTTAGTTATATTATTTTTCCTTCCTTCTCATATTGCATACAATATTTCATAATGAATATGGATTGTGGAAGTGGCAGTCAATGCTCCAAAACAAGTGATTTTTTATGGTAATATTGTTCTGCGACTATCACAGTATATCCTGGATAGATAAATCTAATCAATTTTAGATCAATTCAGGTTCAGATTAAAGCAAGATCAACTAAAACATGTATTTTCGCCTCAAAAAATACAATCAAAGGAATTTCTAATTAAGAGACTTTTTTTCAATTTATCTTACCTATACACTTAATTTTGCCGTCATCAAAATCATAGCCCTTATTGCATTTGCAACTGTATCCACCAATAGTATTCTTGCATCGGCCGTTTTGGCACATTCCCGGAAACTCAGTGCACTCATTGATGTCATTTTTGTCCAAATACCTGTACAAAACGGAAAAAGTGTATTCAATTTCTCGTATTCGGGTTTTTTCAGATCTTGTAAATATTATTGAGTTTCAAACGAATGAAAATTGAAAAACTTTGCTAAAGGGTACGAAACTGAGTTTGTAGGAATTATCATCATATCTTCAAAGTGCTTGCGAAAGTGGAACTCAGAGCTGTAGATACAATTTCACCATACTCATCAACTCATGTGGAAAATGGTTCAAAAATCACAGTCATCAAACTGCACATCAAACTGCACAATCGCCTAACTGGTATAATTACCTAGATTAGGTACCTACATCAAAATCACCATTTGATTGAAAGACATCCAATTTCAACATGCCGAATTTGAATGTAATGTTGTGTTAGTAATTTTACTATCAATTCATGATGTCATCTTGCTAAATTTCATTTCATTTTATGGTCTCCATCTTAGTATTGGATTCTTCATTATATTCTTGGCCCCAACAATTAATGAGGATGAGAGAATAGTTGCCGTAGCAGAGTGACACGTCTTCAACGTTATTCAGGTTTCAAATTCTATGAAATTTGCCATGATCTTGTCATTGGTGAGCCTGATGCCTCTCTTCGGAAGCGACTTCTGCAAATATCATTCCACAGCTGAGCCCCAGAGCTATATGTAGACCTGGCTATTTCCAAATAAAATAGTACTTCATGGCGCGAATGTCGTTTCCGCATTTCAGTTATTCAAGTTCCCTACTTCATTTCTATGAATTATAAGACCACATTTCAACTCACGAATGACTTGTTATTTCCACACAATAGAGTCAGTCTTCTCTAGTAGCCTGAAGGATGGACATTGTATTTTAAAATACCTTCCCAACTTCAACATTCGCGGAAGATGAATATATATAGACGGATTCATTATTTCCGCATTATTTCTCACTCACCCGAGCCCCTTGGGACACAACTCCGAAAAGGCGGCCGTACCCGGTCGAGGACACGCTTCACACCGTTCGCCCCACGCCTTGCCGATCTGCGTGCAGCAGCACAAGTTCTTGTAGAAGGAACCGTCCACAGGGTTGACGCACTTGCCGTGCTTGTACCGAGTGTAGCACTGCTCTTGTCTGATGTCCAGACACTTTGTTCCTGGAGAAGTTGAACGGTGATGATTGAAGAAATTGGAGAGGAGAATTGGAAGTAATTATATTGTTTCGAATATCAATAGGATATATTCTGAGGAACTTTGGGAATTCAACCAATCATAGAGGAAGAATTGAAGTTAACGATTTCATAAAAGAGGTAGAGGAATAATTGGAGGTTCCTACTGCAAATAATCTGAACTCTTATCGAATAAACTGAAGTAACAGAGGGAAGAGAAGAAGAGTGTTGATCAAGAAACTTGACGAACTGAAAACAATGATAGTACCTTCCTGAATAAATTGTAGGTAGTTGAAGGACTGACAGATCAAACAATTCTGAGAGAAGGAGAGACCTTCAGCAATAGAAGAGCTGAATCTAATAGACGTATTGAAGAAACTGGAGAAAAGTTAAAGGAATCGAGACACTGAAACCGATGATTGAAAAAAATGAATCAGTGGACTAAAAAATGTTAACACTTGAGTAAATGATAGCAGTGAAGCAAGGGTACTTCTAGAACTAAACTAATTGAAATAAGCCAATGACTTGAATCGACTCAATGTGGGGTTGAGGAACTAAAGGAATAGAATGAACTGTGACGCCAATGGAGAAATTGAAGGAATTAGAGGGATATGTTTTCCATCAAATTACACGAACAAGTGAAGGGTAACAAGGCACTGATATAAAGTGGAGAAAACAAGGGACTCCAGGAACTGAAGTCAACTGAACTACTCGTTTCAATCAATAATATGTAAGTGGAACTGAATAAATGCAAGAATCCCAAGAAAAGTGAAAACATTCAAGATGATGGTAGGAGGAATTCAAGAAACTCATACTATCTGATGGAACAAGAGAAATTTACGGAGAAGAATGAAGCGAACAGAACGAGGAAACTGAAAGTGCTGAATTTGATAGAGAATCTAGAGAAGTTGAAGGTGATGAAAGTATTGAAGCAACTGAAGGAAAAAAACGAGATCGGGAAAATTATGGAGGAACAAGAATCAATAAGATAACTTGATGAATTGAATCAACTCGAAAAATCAGAATAACTTCCGAGAAAATGCAAAAAATTTATAGAGTCTGGAAGATGAAGGAGATTAAGTTGCTGGTAAGACCAAAACCGGCAGGCCGAAGCGCAGTGCATTTGTGAATCGAGATGTACGAGCAACTGTATTGGAGCTGAAATTGCAGCCAAACATGTAGGAAACTATCGAATTCATCATGCCGACACTAACAAGAACCAAGGACATGGGGAAGATGATGTTGACAACAAGATGATTTGTTTCCAATTGTGATTCATTTGTCTTCAGGGAATTTTAGTTACTCTCAAGAGTGTAAATTGCCAAGATAAGATCGGAAAGATGGATCAAACTGGCAACATGTCATTAACAAACATATCACAGCAAACAATAATACATGGCCATCACTTCCAGGGCAATGTCAGACGAATGAACTTTCATTCGCCTAATATTGGCATTTTCCAATGGTGAATCAAAAAAGTTTCCAGCTGGCCGACTCAACGCGAATACATTTATTGCTCAATCATCATTGGCCTAGTGCCGAGTATTGACTGACTGACATATTTTTAGTGTATTCACAATGGAAATTGAGTGGTTAATTCTCACACAGTGAATAATATTTCACTTTAATGATAATAATGCAGTAATAATAAGTACTTGTAATTTTCTGTAATATTTGGAAAATGGTTGAGACTGGAGAACTCCTCTTTCTCAGCATATGGAATGAACTATTTTTGAATTTCAAGTAAGGAACCTATAAATCATGCAGCCGCATGTTCCAAGTGTATGATTCGTGATAAGAAGTTGAAGTAGATGTTGAAGTAGATCAGACTCCACCTCAAAAAGAACGTTACTTTTTCATCGTTTTCAGTCCTCACTAATAATGAATTTTGTAGGGTAAAAACATGATAGGGATGATCCTCAAACCTGAGACCTGCCGACAAATAAGCAATCCCTTTGATGACGATTTTGCAGAACTTGGTATTGATTGGCTCGATGAACTGGACAACGAAGTAAGTGAAACTGGCCAATCTTGTTCCTGATGAGAAAATGGTCTTGACAATGAGAAAATAATCGGTTCTGCTTCCTCCTGTTCATTCATCAGGTTACACAGGAAGACAAAATAGCTATGTAAGCACCGACTGCAGGTAGCACATATGTCTTGGATGTTCCAGACGAATGTGTGCAATCTGTTTCGAACTAAGGGAATAAGAACCACTCGCACAAATGTTTGCCGCTGATTTTTCTCTTGTTCTCTACGTTTTCATCTTCTTTCAATTCTCATCATCATGCTCACACAATTATGCAATTCAGTTTTCGTTTCGAGATCAGAAATGGCTTTGAAAGTCGGAGTCTGCAAGACTCTACCTCAGAAGTTGGAGAAAAGTGATTCGCCTCAGTGATTATATCGTGTTTGATGGGATGAGAATGCAAAAAAAAAATGAAGTGAACTAACTGGTCGAGTCCAACGTCAGCCCAGGCGGACACGAGCACGTGAAACTCCCGTCCGTGTTGACGCAAGTCCCTCCTCCCCGGCAAATGTCCGGGCTCATCGCGCACTCGTCGATGTCCGAGCACGTCTTGCCGTCGGCCTTCGCGTACCCTCGGGCGCAGTCGCACTCGTGTCGGTTGCAGCGCTCGCACGGCGAGCCCCATGCCACGCCTACCGAGCAGCAGCACTCGGCGCGCTTGCTGGTGCGCGGAAGGTCGTTCTCGCACCGGCCGCGGTTCAGCGTCGTCCAGCAGCTGCCTTTGCGGTTGTCTGTGGAATTAGGAATTGTGTTGAATTCGAACTTTTCTGAGCATAGTGGTTTGCGGTTTGGGTGTTTCAATGAGTTGAGTTGTTGATAAATTATTGTTTCTAATCGGCCCCTTTGAGCAACCCAGTTCTAGGTGACATGTTTTGCCGATCTCGATAACTCTCAGTAAAATGATTTTCAAAAAAAAACAAACGGGCCCCTTCTTTTGTATGAAAAAGTCTGACACTAACATTGCAAAGTTTGTTTGGGAAATTTTGAGAAAGGTCGAAGAGGGACAATAGAATAGGCGTTTTCGGCAACTTACTCGGGTTGATCAGATCACTAACCTGAACTTTCGTTCACTTCAACCAATCCGAGTAACCTTCCTCTGTTCGGAAACTCTCTCATTTTATTTATTTATTTATTGAAATCATATAGGATAACAACAGGCATAACCCAAAGTGTTATCCACGGATACAATAGAGCGTACAGAAGTGTAACTTATATATATATATATATATGTATTACATTTTTAGCTTAAACTAATACTAATCTATGAAATATTTTAATGATGTCAACTGTAAAGTTCAGTATTTTTCTTTTATCTTAGATTTGAATACATGTAATGTATGATTGAATAAATCAATATCATCGAACTTATCGTTGTAAAGTGTTACCATTCTATGTAGGGGAGAGTTTTTTCCTAAGTTTGTTTTACAGAGCTTTTCAGTCATGCTAACTCGATCACTGACTCGGGTTTATTTTTCGTGACCCTACTCAAAAGCAGGGTCGCCAGAGTCACAAACGCGGGAGTTTACCACTCCACGATAACTACAATAGTTTGCATGTAGGCAAAAGTTTCGATCGGTGATATACATTCTTTTTTAATCTTCATGATTTCATCTAGTGATGCATAAGGTAGAAAATCTGTGTAGGTGTTAAGTTTGTGGTGTTTAAGTTCACCAATCACCAGGTGAATACAAATATTTGTAACCATATTAAATAAGTACTTGAATATAATGTGATCATTTTCGTCTATCGAATTCACGAAACCACAGAAACAAAAATAAATTCTGTTTTCCTGACCTGACACGTTCGTAAACGTTGAACACGCGTAGGTGATCCGAGTTTTTTTGTCACGTATCCTCTCTGGATCGAGTTAACAATCCAGAGTAAATTTCCGAAAACACCTAATGGCCAGCTCGTTTTCCGGACTTGGCACCCAATTATTTCCCTCTATGGAGAATTCTATTCTTATCTATATAAAAAACCGACTGAACTGAACTATTCAGGAGGAAAAGGAATGAATGTTAGGCAATAACAAGATAAACATCTTCAAATGTGCAAAAAAAAAATGCAACTATACTACCATTGACTGGAGTCAATGAAGGTTATTTCGAACATCTAAACATGAAGAGACAAATGAGAAACTCACCATTTGAACTCGAATATTTTAAGAACGCCTTTTTGGGATTCAAAAAACTTCACACTGCTAGTGTCAGAATTGAATCACCTTTTGAAATGATGCATAACATGACCCTTCCTATTCCTATTCCAATCATTAAGGTGTTTGGTCTGGGTAGTAGGGGGTTGAAGTATTTTTTTCTCTTGTAAAATCATTTTTCGAGAGTAATCGAGGGTGCATAGTCTCAAATGGATCACACGATATGAGTTCAATGATGACAACCAAATAACTCAACAACTAGGGGCAGAATAACCACACAAAATAACTACTGAAAATTCACATCTACGGTTATAAATATCCACTCAATCAGTAAGGAAACGCGTCACACAAAATGCCTCACACAAAATGTGTCACACAAAATGCACTCACCGATGCAGATGCGGCCAGTGTTGTCCAACACAGAGCCGGCGTCGCACTCGCACTTGTAGGAGCCGTGCACGTTGACGCACTCGCCGTTGAAGCACGCCTCTGGTCCCAATTCGCGACACTCGTCGACGTCCTCACACACGAAGTTCCTAGCGTTCAGCTGCGTGCCCGTAGGGCAGATGCACTGAAAACTGCCTGGCGTGTTACGGCACTGGCCGCCGCTGCAAACCTACGAGCAAATATTACTGTATCCTAGGTGATGGTTTGCTTACTGCAACCCGTGTGTCGGTATAGCATAACATTGCATTTTCGGCTTTCTCATGAATATCGCACCGCAAAATGGTTGTGGTCAGTGGACAGATAATCGGATTACGATTATGTGACGTTCTCGTGACGTTTTTTGTTTCATTGTGTACGTCTATACGAGCGGCGGACTGAATAGTGAGGTTAAGTAGGAGGATGGTGGAGCTAACGGGGCTAAGTGGCGTGACTTATGGGCAGGGCTAAACAGAAACGTCCCAAAACGTCTTGAGTTTGAGAAAGCTTCAGAAACGTCACAAATTTCACGATTTTCCCATTCGCGACCCTTGTCGATCTCCTCGTAAACGTGCCTGTGTGGCAGATGAAGTGGTAGCTGTCTGGTGTGTAACGAGACAGGCCACCGCTGTAAACTTACGAGCAAAGATTACTGAATGCTAGATGATGGTTCACATACTGTGTAATATTGAAATAAATATTTGTATTTTTGAGATTCAATTCATCAACCCCAACTTTCAAACTACCTTGTCTCCTTCGACCAGTATTGGCAAGTTTTGATAAATTCTCTTTCCAGAATCGACTCCTGAAATCATTCCTGAGCTTCTGAATGTATCGATGCCGTCTTACCAAATGTTGCCTGTCACCGTCGCCAAAATGTGAATATAATTGTCTCAAGCAGTATTTTTGATAATTTTCACTGTAGTATAACTTCATATTGAAATAACTTTTGGTATTTTTGAGATTGAATTCATTGACAAGTTTAAGGTGGTTTCATGAAACATTCACTATCATTACTTCATTATTACATTATGAATCAGGAAAGATAAAGCATAGACGAACAATGCCTGTGTTCATGAATAAATTTGCATTACACTCAGCCACTTACAAGTTGAGCTACCTTCATCTTTCATAATTAGAATGATTTTTTTCATGAATCCACCTTCAGTGTTTGACAAAATCGATATTAATGAATTTTCCAAACTATCATATATGATTCTACAATTCTACAATTCGTGACACTCGTCGACGTCTTCGCGAACGAAATTCCTCGCGCTCATCTGCGTGTCCGTGGGGCAGATGCACTGGAAGCCGCCTGGCGTGTTTCGGCACTGGCCGCCGATGTGAACCTACGAGCAAAGATTACTGAATCCTAGATGATGGTTCATCTACTGCAATCCGTTTGTCGGTATAACCCAACAGTGCCCTTTGTGCTTTCCCATAAATCATCGCACCGCCAAATGGCGGGGCTAAATGGCACAAGATTAACAATTCTTCAGTCCGCGACACTAGTCGACTTCCTCGCAAACGAAATTTCTGGCATTAAGCTACGTTCTTGTGCGGCAGATACACTGGAAGCACCTCAGTGAGTTCCGGAATTGGCCACCGCTGCGAACTTGTGAGCAAAGATGACTAAATCCCAGGTATTGATTTACTTACTGTAATCCGTTTGTCGGAATAACCTAACACTGCGTTTTCTGATCTTCCATAAATCATCGCACCATCAAAAGGTTGCGACCGGTTGAAAAATAATAGGATGACGATTTTGTGACGTTTTCGTGACATTTTTTGATTAATTGCTCACGTATATACGAGCGGCGAGGTTAAATGGCGAGGTTAAGTAGGTGGATGGCGGAGCTAACGAGGCTGAATACCAGGGCTTATGTCACAAGTGAGGATTGATGCGGATTATTTTTATCAGAAATAATTTCTCCTCCGGAGGTGCGCAAAGGGTCTTATTGTTTCAGATTGTAAATATGCTGAGGAAGAATATTGTTACCCTCTTGAATAGTATTTCTTATTCAGCACTCGAACACAGCAGTCTTCAAAACTCACATTCGATATTTGTGTTACGCATCTTCACGTCATAAGAGACACATTGAAAACGTATAAGAGACAAACATTATAGCTTTGAGTGGCATCTTCGCATTCTCTTATTACATGCATTCCATACATTCATCATAATAACTATTCGTTTCTTGCAGAAAAACAACTTTTGTTTCAAACGAAATATACATATTAAGCAAACATATTGGTACCTTTCCATCAAAAATCTATCAACCTGGTTATTTTCATTACAATTCATACAGAATCTATGATATTTCTTCTGTGAAATGTAGTGCATAATTAAATTCCAATCACTGTTTCCATGGACAATAGATAATACAAAGACGTCTTGATAACCTTCTGGGAAGGTCCTGGCCCTAATAATGCACTGATGAAAACGAAAGACATCTGCAAGACCACTCTAGCACATCCACCTGTTACTATTTTCTACATGCGAATGACATCTCGAAACATCTCGATGATATATATTCCAGAGAAGTACTGAAGACGTCTCAGGAACTTTCTGAGAAATTTCTGAATGACGCATTCATGTCGAGAGGCAGCAGCAAGATACAATACAACATAATATCCCCTCATAGTCCACCATGGTCGACCTGATGACGTTTCACGAAACTACTGAGGAGATCGATTTTCACATCTTAATCAAGCATGTATCAGGTGGAATTGATACAAAAATGAAACAGATTTCTCTATAACAGTGTGTTGGCATTGAAGCTTTTCGTAACATTTTGAGGATTATTGGGTTTTTAATCATCATTATGGGACAAACATTCGAAGTATTGAGAGTCAAATTATGAAATGAAAAAACCTACATCACATCGATTCCTCAACAAGAAATATGTTAATTGGTTATATCAATATGAAAAGATGGGCCGAATGTTTTTCCGAATGTCAACATTCTTCTTCATCACTGATTTGGAACCTGATCTTCAACCATCAAGATGACACCTCCAACTTTGTTAACGAGTTGTCAATGTACCTGCGTCTCTCAATATCCCCTTATGTCTGAATAACAGGAAACTTCTACAATGAGGAATTCTACTCTCCCTATACAACTCATGTATTTGCATCCTGTCGGATTAATGAATCGAATTCTTTGAACGTTAGTATGATTGTAATAAGTGGATTCTTACCAATTCTTCGACTTCGCACTCATTTATATCTGTGCATATTTTTCCACTTTCATCCACTTCGAACCCTGGATTACAGATGCACCTGTAAGTTCCGATCATATTTTCGCAAGCTCCGTTTGAACAAATATTCGGATTTTGCGCACATTCGTTAATGTCGTTTCCATCGAAGGTTGATCCAGGACCTGGAACAGAAGAATCACATAATATTTTGAGAATCATTCTGAATTAATGAGAGATGCTTTATTCAAGAGTATGAAGTGAAGAATGATGATGATTTCAAACAGAAAATGATTTTTTTTACTAATGATATAAAATATGTATGTATATTCTTTAGAGAACGTGCGATATCGGGAATATGATCGAAATGAGCTGCAGATAATCATCATGGCTTTATTTCAAATCATTGAGCTCTTACCAATCGAACTTCTTCATCTGACTCCGACTAAGGAATGGTTCAAATGATATCAGTTATTCCAGCAAAGAAGAATCAAAATAAATTTTCACTTCACAATATCTGATATTGAATCAGGTCGTACTATTCAAATGTCAGAAGAATAGGGATGACTGGGAATGAGGACTGACTAGTTTTGAAAAGAGTATGTACGTTTTTATTCATATTCATAATGGAGAAATAAGAGTTAATCTAAATAACGCATCAAATCACAGTTGCCAACATTTCATAATCAACACATCTCACAAATTAATGAAATTTCTATCTACAAGCTTCTTCATTTGTCTAGGGTGATTTTTTCTCTATCTATGAAAGATCAATGTGGAGCGTAACACTCATTATGTTTGTAAAAAGATCGGGGCAATTGAATTTGGAAATATTACAACTGACGTATGCTAGATGTGACTAACTTCTGTTCATTACAATATCTCATTGAAGCCAGCTTCGTTAAGAAAGTCAAAAGTGCCTGCAGATTATCATCATGAGAAATTGGTATTCAACCCCTTCCATCCTCGTTGTAATGATGAACACATTTATTTCAGGATAAACAAAAGTATGTGAAGTATTCTAGTGCTTCCCTAGATAAAAGATAAAAGAAATAGTAGCTAAGAGTGCAGTGGTCTTACCGTGCGGACAGAGTGAGTCGAAGTCGGTGGTCCCCGGCATAGGACACGGTTGACAAGTGGTGCCCCAGCCCATGGGCTTGCCGGAAATGATCGTGCAGCAGCAGCAGCTCGATCTGGTGACAGCTGTGGTGGACGGGTTGAAGCAGAGTCCGTCTCTGTATTCCTGAGAAGTTATATCACCATTTTTGTCACTTGATATTGGCCACGCTTTTTTTCATGATGCTGCATTATTCATTCCAAGATGAATCAGAAAGTGTTCCTAATTACTCGGAATTATTTGTTATTGAAGGGTGTTGTGTCAATTCTTGGCAAGATAGTTATTCCGACCATTTTGTTCTGAATTTCGCTATAGACGATGGTGGTTCATTCCATATTTTCTACGCCACTGATATAATCAAGATTGATTTCAATTCATCGATTCAGTTTAATTTTGCAAAAGCACATAACCGCCATTCATTCTCAGAACACTCTTATTCGAATAATCCAATCATGAATGAAAGCTTGCATAGACATTGTCAATCATCTTCAATAGAGAAAAGTTCAAGAAACAAGTTCTGGATGGTTGCCTAATCACACTCTATAGTTCTTATTCTAGATATGCAGTTATTCAATGCCAAATTTCATGTGCCCTTGTAATTACCTCCTATTGAAAATGATATGAACTGCATATGCAAAGGTTCTCTCTCTATCAGATTAGTTGAAGGTTTTGCGCTTTTTTCAACTGAATTAAATAAAGGCAATTCTGCACATCGAGAATAATCGAAATTTCGCTTGTGGCGTGAAGAATATTGGAGAAAAATTGCTCACTCCACTGGATAAAGAACAGGAGTAAATCGTCAGAAGTTGTAGGAGTTGGGGAGAGAATCATTCACCAAGATCTATTGAGATGAATTTATTCTTGGGTTAGTCCTTGACGAAGAATTCTACTCCTCAACCTCAATTACCAGTATCACGCAAACTATGTACTCGTGGAACTTATGTTTTCACCTCATTCTTCACAAAGAAAATCACCTATAAAGGCTAGTCGGTCTAATTTCGTAACACCTTGTATAAAATTCATTGTCTTCTTGATATTCATCCTGATGAAGAGATAAAATTGATGAAAATGATGAGATTCATGAAATATCTTATGTGAACCAATAAATTGTAAAAATGGCACAACATTTGAATAACATACACGCTGCTGTTTCGGATATAATTGATTTGATTTGATGAATCAAATTTTTCCCAGGATATTCTTCAGACCACTCATCCTATAACATTGGAGGATTTCAAACTCCTCAAATATGTCACATATATGGAAGAGAACTATGAGCAATTTGGAAAGTATTCGCATTATACAAGAGATCAATCAATGAACAAATACTCAGGTTCCATTCCTATTTCCAAGGTGTCTTTCAGCTTTCACGATTTTCATCGCAGAAGAACATTCTCTTAACGGGAGGATAATGAGTTATGAATAGTGCATCACAGATGTAGACAGTCAATCTCGCTGGTTATTTTTTTAGATAATCCGATGCAAACAAATCAGCGAATTTATATTTTCTCCTCAGTTCTATCCAGGATAGTGACTGAACTGCCGAAATACGTCAGGATTTTGTCTACGGTTCAAGTTCCTGCTCGGGCGCCATCTATTAGAAGCTTTATTTCGAGGGTCTTTACTATGGCGCATTCCAGACCAAGAATCTTGGGACCTGTTCCAAGTAAGTCGGGCGCTAGATTTGTTTACTCCAACTACGAATTGAGGTTGTGAGGAGTCCTAGGTAGCAACAGTAGAGAAATGCACAGGAGGTGCCTACAGTAAAACAGTAGTCAATGTTATTGATCAGATCAAAATCAAAAGAGAGAGGAATCAGAAGTCCGTTTCAAGATCGCGGCTAAAGACTCAAAAGGGATTATGTACTTGAAAGGGTGAGCGTCCTCAGCTAGTCTTAAGTATTCAGACTCCACAGGAACGTTGAAAAAAACAGGGCAAGAGGACGCCAGATCCTCGATTCTGATTAGTTGATCGCTTCAACCTTCTCATTACCACGAAAAGATGTTGCATTTATTCTTGAAAGCACACATCAGCTTCAGACTTACGAAAACGCGAAAAAATATTCTTTTACTCCAAATGGACAAAGAAAAATCAACTACTATTGCGTATGCTTCTGAATGAATCTAACTGAAAATATTCGATAGAAAATAGTTATGATAAGGTAAACATCCATAATTTCAAGAGATAGGTTATTTTGAATATTACATCATGAGAAGAGGAATGAAAAATGTTGTAGCCTTCAGGGTTGATGATTCACGTCTGAGTTTATTGACAGAAAAAGTTTCGAAAGTCAGGAATTGTGACATTCTTCAGATTTATCTGGTTTTTGCGTTACGAGCTTTCGAAAAGATGGAATTCGAGTGAAATGAGTTTGAGTTACCAAGTTAATTATCAAATCCATCCTAGTAATGAAGCTGGCTGAGAAGCACCTGATCATAATGATTGTTATTGTGGTATTTCAGGTATTTTCTCGTTCTCAATCATTATTAACACTAGAAATGGCATTAGAGTTCATATCACCTGATAGCACAGATCCCTTCTCGTGTCCAAGCACGACCTGCCGTCCGGTCCCAGACTGAAGCCGGCGTGGCACTCGCATCGGAAGCTGCCGGCCGTGTTGGAGCAGGTGCCAGACTGACAGGGGCTGTTGACGCACTCGTCGATGTCGACGCAGTGCCGGCTATCCGGGCCCAATCGGTACCCGGAGTCGCACACGCACCGGAAGGAGCCCTCCATGTTGATGCATTTGCCGTGGTCGCACATCCCTGTGGAAAGAGACACAGACATGACAGAATCATTCAGTAATAAGTGGGAGAACTTTGATTTCTGAAGATGTTTTTCCTTGAGAGTCCATGTACCGGGTGTCCCAGAGATTGTAGGCCAGCAGATATCAGGATTATCTGACATACAAAATGTTTCGAAAGATTGTGCAATTCAAGGGAGCAGGAACTCTCCAAGATAGTGGGACCAAATCACTTTTTTATCAAACAGTCTACTAGAATCCACCCCTCACTTTGATTCTTCGAACTGCATATTTCTTTGAAAATCATCATAGAACATTCCATTCTTGATTCAGTGATATATCGTACTAGAGATATTTAGCAATGGATTCATTTTCGGAATTTCGAATAATTTCGATGATCTTTATTTGAAAATATCGATTCCTCCTTGAATGATTTTTTAAAATGACTGTTATCACTTGCTTCACATATCGCCTATTCGACTTCCAATGTAGCTCTGATCATTTTTCGAGGAATAACTGGGTGTAACAGTATAACGAGTCTGCAAAATCACTTATTTCTTCATAATCTTTACTATAACGCCATATCGATTGTGATGTATATAGTCGAATTGAGAAGTTGTGTCGCAATTTGAATAACCAAGGTTAGATTGTTTGACTAGGGGTGATTTGATGTCATTATTATGGAAGGCTTTTGCTCCCATGAATTCCACAATTTTTTGAAATTTTTTTTATGATATAGATAACCCAGATATCTGCTGACCTAAAAGCTCTAAGAAATCCGCTGAAGCACTTTCAACTTCTGAATCATTATCATCAGATTGAGTAATCAAGTGCTCTCAGTGATACACGGTGTACATCAGTGACCCTTACATCAGGACCAGTTTCTCTGAGTAGTTAATAGTATGAGATGGCTCATAGCCAAACACCAATCTTCAACTTGTCTTGGATAGTATCGTTCACTCTTCAGTTTCCAATCTTCCCTATCGGCCCCTCTTGGCCAATTCTGATATTTTCTCTTCTCCAACATAGCCCAATCTTATCATGGTGCGGGAAGGACAAGTCGCGGCTCCTAGGCAGATGGAGCATTTTGTAGTCATATTTGTTCGAATCACTCACATATGGGACAATTTCGTGAAAATCTGTGGCCGGTTTGATGAACGAGACTCGGACAACTTGAACCAAGATGTGGGAACCTGTGATATGAATGGCACTGAAGTTACATGGTATCGATAAGGGAACCTCTGGGAAATAAAGTGAACAGCCTCAGCCCTATGCTAAAGTCACTACGACGCTGGACCAACTCCTTCCCCCATTACTCGTAGGAGAAGTAAAACTTTTAGTCTTCTCCATCGATTAAATTAGGACTCAGAGGGGTAGTCTTCAGGAACCTGAATGAAGAACATTTTTCAAACGAACCTCTGGTACTGTGAGCGGCAGTGCTAAGTTACTGTGATGATATTTGAAGTGCCCCTTATACATATAAAAACCATGGGTAGTATGTGGAGGAATCAATATCGACATAATCGAGGTGAGATACAATGGGCCAACAGACTTATGAGCGTAATCGGAAACCTCGGTCTGACCAGCCACAAAGAAAAGTGGAGTGTGTAGTAGGGACATTCACATATAGGAAATCCAAAACTGTCATGAATAAAATGGTCCTCCGTGGTGTACATAGAGGTAAAACACATATGAGGATACTGTTATCCACATTTGCCTGTTCATGATGAATGAAGAATGATGAAACATGATGAAACAACTCTACAATTGTCATTGTCCTAAATATATAGCCCTCGATTGACGGATAGTATTGATTCGACAACTTGAGTGAAAATAGCAGTAGCATCATGGTTTCAGAAAGATCAATTCTAATATCTATATCCGACAGTGACTGATAGCTGACAAGTCCACTTTGATATTGTGACCCTCTCAATTCCAAATGAATTTGTGAATAAATAAGATCATTTAAAAAATGCTATATTCAGTATTTCTCGAAGCCTTATGATGGTATCAAAATTCAACATACTCAAGTAGCTGAAGTTCTACAAATGTATAAACTGTTTTATCGGAAGAACCTGATTCATCCACCTCCTTCTCCATTTTTCTGACCCAAAAAAATATATAACAAGAACAAGCAAGCTTCAATTGTTTCTACTTCAGTTTCAGACTGGTTTTGACCTGGTATGCTGTATGGGAATTGAAACATCTATGATAGGTATAGATAGGACCCTGATGAAATAATATTACCCTTAACATCCCCTTCCAAAATTACGATACATACCTGTGGATGCACATTCATCCAAATCACTGCAGAAAGTCCTGTCATTGGATTCTACGAATCCAGGTGAACAGGCGCAAGTGTATGATCCTGGAGTGTTCTGACATCGTCCGTTCAGACATATTCTTGGGTTTTCATGGCATTCGTCAACATCTGGAAAATATATAACAGGTATATAAATATGAATGAAATGATGAAAGAAAAGACGAATGAAAAACTGACCTATGCAGGCGAACCCGGTGGCAGACAACTTGAAACCGGCTTTGCAGTGACACTTGAAGCTGCCGTCCATGTTGACGCATGCGCCGTTCGTGCACATGCCGATCTCAGTGCACTCGTCGTGGTCGGTGCACATAGTTCCATCTGGCGAGACATCGAAACCGGGTGGACACACGCAAGAGAAGCTGCCAGGGAGGTTGGTGCATCTGCCGTTCAGGCACTTGCCTTCTCTGCATTCGTCAATATCTAGATGGAATATTATTTATATTAGAGCTAGTACGTCAAGCGCATGTGGGGAAAAGATCAAGGCTGAATGGTCTGCTATTCGCATAGATATACTACTAGAGAAGAATGGCACTCGGTAATTGGGTAATCTCCATGGCTTCTCAGGTAAGGCACCAGTCGTTCCATATCTGAAGTGAAGCAGTATCGAGCGCGGTTAGTACTGAAATGGGTGACTATTTAAGCAAACGCTGCCTATGTCCGCATATCTGAAGCGAAATAGTATAAAATATCATAACTACAGCTAACATATTGAAGAGCACAAGATATGGTAAGAACATGCCGTCCTTCGGAGGGGACGTTGAGCCAGCGGCCTGAGGCCACGGATGTTTTACTCGTTGAAGATTCCTACCTTTGGTTGGAACGCCAGAGGATTCGGCTGATTTCCTAGCTGGGGGTAGTGTGCTGAGTGTCATCAGTCTCAGTAGCAGAAAGAGGTCAACGTCGATTAAACAAAAAGAAATAAGAAAGAGATAATTCTAAGAGAAAAATTATAATAGTCCTTTATGTAGCAGCCGTTCAGGCAATTATCTTCTCTGCATTCGTCTATGCCTGGAAAGGAGTTGATTCACATCAGAGCCTAGCAACAACAAGTAGTGACGATAACATACACAATCCAGAGCGTCCACAAATGTGGAAAAAACGTAACATGCCTAAAAACGTTGAAGGAACTTCTGGAACATGCTGCATGCATGACGCTTTTTCACGACGTTTCGAAGCATGTAAGTTGTTCTCGTGACGTTTTTCCATGTTTTTTATGCGTTTTCGGGTTTTTTTCTTCATGATCTTGAAGTTGCGAATACGCTTGTGTCACGTTACGTTTTAACGAGCTGGTATATCTAGCGCATGGAGGGGGGCGAGATAAGGGCTGAATGGCCTGGTATTCACATCGATATACTACATGAGACGAGGTACACTCGATAATTTGTTCTCAACAGAATGGCTATGTAGCAGCCGATGGTAATCGTGTAATCGACGTAGTTCTCACCTTCAAATTATAATCCACAATTGATCAGAATCATGAATGATTCTCCAAATTTAGCACATCAATAATTTTTACATTCACTTTGTGATATAATTCAAGTAAAGAAACGTTTCACGGAATTGAGGCAATCGATATTCAACTTCATAGAAGGGCAAGCGGCCAACCGCTAGCCTGAAAATCGGATTCTACGGTAGGCGGAGCCTAAAAGAATTCTAATACTCGCCAGCAAGTGGGAAACGGGGGCATCTTTGCGCCCGTCAAAGCCACTATTCGAGAGGTAGACGAAACTCTGCGATATGATAAAGTGATACAGAAAAGCGATTTTTTTATCGCTTAGTGCGCACGAAACGGGATGTCTATGAGGGTATATATTATATCATTATCTAGCAGGAGGGAAGAGGAATTATTGCATTAATAGGTCACAAGCGACTATAATTTGGAGAACATAGTAATCATATGTTATATTTGGAATGAATAAACTTGGAAGAATCTTTTGGAGAGGTCTACAGCCAGATTTGTTCAAGAGGTAAAGGGGATGGTCAATTGGATGGTTGGCTTATAGAATTAGTTGTGAACCATAATTGTGATTATCCTTAGTCCCCTCAAGTAATAAAGCTGTTCGATGAGAAGAAATGAGAAGAAAGGAGAAATCTTACAAGGCATCAAGGCTACAAAGACTTCTGGGCCTTGAGAACTAAGTCTATTCACACGAATATCAAGTTACTCCCACCGTGGTTGGTTCGGTGGATTTGACTTTGGATTTATCCCCTGTATATTCTGCAGAGGCAATTTCATTGACTGAGCAACCTTCCTTGGATTAAGTTCTTTTCTTGTAATGAATCCAGTGAATCCTCACGCATCGAATCCATCACAATCAAAGAAGTCGATAACCATCAATACCTTTAGCGTCAGATCAAACAGTAACGGACATAACAGTCGTTCACCTATCCGGGTACGAAACTATTCAGCCTCTATATTCTCATTACTGAATAAATGGACAAACAACCATGATTAAACCCAATGGAAGCATATCTCGTTTGTCGTAGCGATGAATGAGCATGAAATGAGCATTGCAAAAGTGCGGAAGGAGAGGCATATATCTGTATCACGCATTCCAGACGTTTTTTCGCCGTTTTCATATACATTAGTGATCTCATATACTCAGCTTGATGGAGGTATGAACCAATTCGCTTGATAACCGAGAACCTTTTCCAGGATATCTTCGTAACATGTCCTATTGAAATTCAGCCCAGGAAGTGTCTTCTGAGTCCCCACTCGAGAAATATGTATTTTGTGCCCCAATTTGATTTTTTTCTCACCTCTCGAATTTCTCGAACATTATTATCCGATATTTTTCATCATATATTAAATCCAATATTGAACTAAAAACGAAAATACGTCATCTTCCAGGCCACCTTAGTGTTCGTAAACGTTTTCCAATCGAAATATTCTAAATCAAGATTTTCAATCAGTTTTTCTTGTTCTTCATACTACAAAGGTCGAGTATGCTCCCAGCGGCTTTAAAAATTAATTTTTGGTAAAAACTCTAAATTAAATCATTATCAGGTAGCCGTACGGACAGAGTGTCAATATTCTAATCCGCATTCGCTTGCCGGTCGTAGGTTCGATTCCCATCGACTGCAAAAAAAAATTCTGATGGCCCAAGAAAGTGCTTGAAATCACACGTTGGAAGTTAAGGCCCCCATCATTCCCTGCTCGCACAAGACTCTCGAAGACTTCTGAGGGTTGCTCGTAAGGGGGCAACCGAATGACGGATAGAACAATTTTAGAACAACAATCAGGCGGGTTCCTTGCGTGACCGCACTTACCTAAATCAATTGTAAATCGGTCTGAACGTAATGAAGCTTCTTCGTTCAATACTGACATCAGAAGCAGCTGAGGGGACAGTTTTAGGTATGCCTAGAAGCAATGGCGCAAAAGTATCCAAATATTCAGATTATTACTGAAATACTGCGATTGGGGTCCCAAGGACCTCGCAGAGAACGTTTAGAGTTGAAACATCAAAGTACAATTATTATGGTGGAGCCGATGAAGGCGTTCATAGTGATTCCTTCATAGGAATTTGATTTTCTTGACAATAAATTACTGACCTTCGCAAACTTGTGACTTTCCCAGACGGTACCCTGCGTCGCATATGCACTCGTACCCCTGCACGGTGTCGATGCACCTGCCCTTGCCGCAGATGCCCGGCCTCAGGATGCACTCGTTCACGCTGATCTGGCCCACCTGATCCACGCCGGGGATCTCTCCTGGTCTCAGGTCGAAGCCGCCAGGCTCAGGGAAGGGATGCGGGTGAGCGGGGGCCTCGCACAGCCTCCGATGGTCCTCTGATAAACAGATGATATGAATGATAAAAATAATAATTATAATAATAATGAAACGTCTCTATTACGAAAGAATCCTGCACAAATCTTATGGGGAATAGGTATGGGCCAAATTGGCTGAAAGGACATCGCACGTTTTATGGGGAAAATCGGCCTCCTGTCGAATTGGCTGAATTTTCGATATGTTATAGTCCAAGACATTCTGAACAAAATGTCCAAATATCAAATTGTTCTGATGGACAGTTCTGGCGCTAGAGGCCGCTGAAGTCTAAATGTTGTTTTTTTTTCTCCTGATACATTCTTCAATTTGAGCTATTATTATATTATCTTCTGATGGGATGAGTCTCTGCAAGAAGTTTTCTTCAATATTTTTGCTGTTGATCAAGAATTATACAGCGTGTTACAGCAATTATGAAGGAGATAAAATAGGATATTGTATCTTATTGTCGCATTTCAATTGTGGAACAGTTTTTCCAATAAAAACATTCATTATTATTATTTTCATTATTATTATTCAAATTCATATTATTCCAGTCACGACTCTGCGGCCTCCGACACCACGCAGAGCCGAGCTGGATAAAATCCAGTGACTACTCCCCACAGCCTGTGGGGTGAATAATCACTGGAACCAAGAAACGTGTGCCCTGAGTAAACGCAATTATCCGAGTATGACGGATCTTATTATTATTACTATACTTATCATCATATTGAACCAACGGTTTCACATTGTAAATATACATGGTTTAGATATGGTTTGGGAGACATGGACGTTGACAGGACGTCCCTGCAACGTTATGAAACTGACGTCTTATTTTACCCTTCTAAGTGACGTTCACTCGACGTCGAGATGATGACGTGATTCTCACGTGATAGGAAGTACGTTTTAGTTTCGTCATAAATTGGTGTGTGACGTCTCTGATGGAAAATCACCAATTAGGGACTTCACAGTGACATGATCATTCGTCATAGGGTTGCCTGGGTTGGTATTTTTCTTATGTGGAATAGAATGTTGAAGACTATAACGAGAATCTAGCTCACCTTCTCCAAACTCTGGACATCGCATGCACTCTTCCTCATCGTACATCGCCCAACCTTGACCCATGTTGACTCCACAACAACAATCCTTCTTTGATAAGCGCATGTGCAAGCTGTTGCTGCAATATCCTTGCTCTGTCCTATGTGTATAACATAATCCCTGCCTACCATCTATGAAGAAACAATTCAAAATTGAATTCGCCCAGGTTATAGAAAAAGAACGTTCAGACTTACCGATACAATATGTTTTTTCTTGGCTCTGTATGAACCCTGGATTACACAGACAGAAATAGCCGCCATTGGTGTTGACACATCGACCATTCTCGCAGATATTTTCTTCCTCGCATTCGTCTTGGTCTTCGCATCTGTTGGTCGCAGGGTTTCTGGATTGTCCTGGAGGACATTGGCAGGTGAAAGATCCGACGGAGTTCACGCAAGTACCACCAGCACACAGGTGAGGAATTGCTTCACATTCATTTATATCTGAAAATCAAGTTATCATATTTTCCTTAGCTGATTTCTCTGTTTATTGGAGACAGATTCAGTTTCATCAAACTCAGCTACTAATTCTTGGATGAATTGGTGTTGAACAGTTTTTTCTGGATGTCTTATAACTAAAATCGACCACTGTTCTTGCAAGGCAACGGATTCATTCAAGATAAATATGAATCAGTTTTACGCCTCCTGCTATCTCTTTGATTTTTCGAAGGGATACTGATGATCCTCATCAATTGTTTGTCAAAATTTGAATAGGAGAATAAGTATCAAGAGTTATTTTTATTGAATATTCTCGAATGAATGGTTGTCGGGGCACAGTGGACAGATCATCATTGAAAACGTTTCCATTATTTCAATTTAATAAATCAAATATACTCTGAACTCACATGAAACTCATCTGGTATTGCATGAAAAATCCAAAAATTGAAAAATAACTAGGGGTTATTGAGGAATATAACCAGAAAAGTGTATAGTTATGGTTTCTGTTGAATATTCTGAGTTATATTATATACATACTATATATTTGTATCTGAGAGAAAATGCAAATTCTCAACTTCAGAAGATTTTATTCCCAAACTTCCATTGTGTGTGCATGTTCATTAGACATACCTAATTCAATGTTCGTTGTGTTCCGAAAAATAAGCCAATTACACCGTATTGAATATCAATTCTTTCTTGGTTTATTCAACAGAAAACATCTACTTTCCTGGCTATATGGCACCACGGACATTGAAAAAAATATCCTGAAGTTGAGAATTTGCATTCTTCTTTAGATAAAAATGTGTATATTCACATAATATCATTCTGAATATTCAACAAGGAACAACTACTCTCCTAGCTATTTGCCACGTCTAACGATGAATTATATCTGTTGAACATCCAAAAGGAGAGCATGAAAAATAAAAAATCCTCTGAAATTGAGAAATGACATTATTTCTAAAATCGGATGAATAATATGATATTATGTTGATGAGCTTGGAACTTCCGAAACAAATCTTTCGTTTTAGTGTCCATCATCATCTACCATTGTTGTTCATTTTATGGACATTTGTGGATATGACTCCGAGCTTTTTGTATCTATTTAACATTTCATTCCACTTTGAGCATTGTGACTATTTCGGAGTTAATATTACGCGAGTCGGGCAACCAGTCACTACCATATTGGAATTTTGATTTTGGAGTGTTGATTTCCGCCTTTCCTACTCAGATGGCGTTGCTCTCATATTGCCCATGGAGGACGCCTCTGAAGGAATATAATGCCGACTTGATTTTAGTTTGGCTCGGCTACGCTTAGTCGGCTGTCTTAGGACTGCTGGCTAGAGACTGCCCTGCACTCATGAGAGTCAAAGAGCACGAAACCGGTCTGTAGGTGTCTAAAGTGGTCTGGCTAAATCGAAATCAATAGGCATTCAGGAAAGAATCACTTGTATCAGTATTCGTTCATACCCAGATAGCACAATGTCATTAGTAGAACGTTCATAGAATATTCGAATATTCATGGAATATTCTCACAATATGATACAAATATTCTAGGGACGTTTTATGAACATTCTAAGAATATTCCTAGTATATTGAAAGAGAAGGAAGAAAATTAAAAAAAGCTTGACTCCGGTGGAGATGCGAACCCACTCATCTTGTGATTGCATTTTTACGGACCTGAAACCTTACCACTTCGCCACGGACTATATTGATGGATACAATGAATATCAAAATAACAACGATGAATTATTGGGATAATCAGCATTGAGGCTAGATAATAATAGATTGTTCCAGGGTGAACATCATGAATATTGATACAAAAATTGGAACATCAATATCATATATTTCGATACGATTCTGAATATTCTCAGAAAATTCAAGAAGAATATTCTCAGAATATTCGAAAAGAATGAAAATATTCTATGATCATTCTGAGAACATCAGAATATCCTGAAATAAGTATATTTGAACGTTGTCAGAATATTCATAGAATATTCTGTGCTGTCTGGGTACGAGTCGATGCATAGATTTCAGGAGGATGGAATTCAATGTTCTGCGTGTGGCTTTAGCCAGGAAAGTAGTTGTTTTTCTCCCGTTATCTAGCAGTGTTGATTTTTTGAACATTGTGTGGAAATGACTCTGAGGCTTTTTATATTTATTTATCGTGATATTACGTATGATAAGATCGAGACACCTACCGACGCACTCGTTGGTCTTGATGTTCTTCAGGAAGCCAGTGTCGCACTCCAGCCTGGAGGGGCAATGCTGGCAGGGGTGGCCCCACGCCTTGCCCACCGTGGCGCAGCACAGGATCTTCGTGCACACGACGCCCTCTAGCTGATTGACGCACAAGTTGCCGCGGTAGCCCGTGTAACATGGTCCGGTCCTGTAATCTGAAATGGTACGATATAACGACTGAATGGATTGATTTCTCTCGAACATACAATCTTGAGTATTTTTAGTGAGAATGATACGATCGAGAATCAATTATTACTAGATTTTTTTTTTCGAGAACAAGAATTTTCTGAATTTTAGTGTTCGAGAAAAAAAAATACCTATTTTCAACTGAGGCCAGAATGGTATCATCTGAGAAAATTTCACGCCAAAATATCATTAAAAAAAAATACTAGGAAAAGATAATACCTTAAGTATAATACAAAATACCGACTTTAGTTACGCGAAATATTAATGAAGCAGCTGGTGATGATGTACTAACTTTATCCCACTTTAATGTTAGTGAAAACATATTTTGTTACAAGGAACTCGAACCAGTATGTACTATAACTGAAATTCTCATTCATAACACTGTTAGGTCAAATAAAACACAATTAGCTTACTTCATTTACACATAAAATAATAAAAAGTCAATAGTAGCTCCATTTATTAGTTTTTCACAACTCCATTTTACTAAAATTGGTTGAAATATATTATATTTAATATCAATAAAATCTCTTGACGCATAGTATGAGGTTGAATTAAATATAGTGAAATAACTTCAGTTGAATGAAATGAAATCCCTCAGTTCTTCAAAAATGCATTCAGCTATAGTTGTCGACAATATATTATCAACTTATTGAATGGATTCAACATAATCTGAACTTGAAAGTTAATGTCATTTCACCTACTTCCAATATGTGATGTGAAACATTACGACACTGATTTTGGTATCGTAATGAGACACTTCACCGCACTAGTGCGGCAAAGTGTTAGTTTACCGTACTAGTGCGATGAAGTGAAAAGAATATAATTTCAGATTTTATATCCACTCAAAATAAGAAATATGAACCAATTCATCATGAATATTGCAGGTACTAGAGTTTCGATTGATGCATTCGCCACAATTTCTATATCGGAATCTAAGCTTTCCTGATCCGAATTCATGCGGATGGAATTTTTTTTCGAATTGAAATCAACGCGTCAAAGTTGACAGTTCGCCGAATGAGTGACAACCGAGAACACAATTTATTTACGACAACCATACGTCCAACCCTTGCCGTGGTCACATATTCCTAATAAACCGTCAGTTCAAGGAATATTGAATATTTTCCATTAAATGATTAGCTTTTTGGTATTAGGTAAAATATTGTCCTATATTTGTATCGTTCACTCATATCACGATAATCAATGGGTTATCAGAGAAATTTCCCATCTCATATCGTAATATGAGTCTTTACGATACGAGTATCGTAAATATCTATTACCTATTAACGTCAAGAAATGTCCGGTGTAATTACATGCTTCTTCCCCAAAGGAGAAGGGAAAATAATCCGGAAATTTGTTTCGTGGCCATGGTAACGATACAAAATTCAGGCTTTTAATTGGTCGAGAATGTGAGGTGTAAAAATCTCAGTGAAACAGGCAACAGCGAGAGCCGAAAATGACTACTTCCAAACTAACGTTACTGGGGAAACCGAAACAAATTATAACCGGACAAATTTTTTGAGAATCGGCCGCCAACAGCGGTGGAGACTAATAATTTGGTTTGGTACCACGAATGAAATAAAGAGTCTTAGATTGTTCATAAGGAAACGATTGACACGGAATATTGGTGAGTTTTCGAACCACCTAAGTATGGGGTCCAATCACGGCCCTTGAAATTGACTATTTGTCCACACATTGCTTTCAATAGAAGCCCAGACCATCTCAAGATGCTTGAAAATGCAGTGATAGGTAAGTGGAACAGTATAGCTGTGATCTTCGAGGAGTTAATCAACCACATATCCCTCCTTTAATTTTCTTTCTCAGTTTTTTGGAGGAAATTTCCATGCTGTTTTGACATAAATCGATTTGGATCAGCCTTTTTCGTGTTGTTGGGCAGAATGTCCGTTTGTTGACAAGGATTCCTCAGGAAATTAATTCCAGAGCTTTGTCGCTCTATAGACAAACGATTTTTGATGAATTGCTATTCGACATATTTCGAGGTTGACAACGAAAGAATATGCAAACTAGGCTTGTCGAGTTCGTCTGACTGGTATAACTGATAATAGCAGAGATTTCTTAAGGAACTTTCCCGTGGAAGTATCTATAGGAGAGTGAAAGGGCGCCGACTTTTTTACGGTGTTCTAATGATGTTAAAGAGTAAGTGAATGTGACATCAACCACCAGGCGAATGACTCTCATCTGGATGGAATCTAATAGCGTCGGCGTATGTTTGGGTGCTGAACCCAATATGTGGGAACAATATTCTAGAACATGCCGTATTGTGCTTCGTTCAGCTCTTGAGGGGCTGTTCGGGTGTAAAGTAGATTTACGCACGGCCAGGTAGCCGTGCGGACAGAGTGTGTATATTCTAATCCGCATTCGTTTGCCGGTCGTGGGTTCGATTCCCATCGACTGTAGAAATTTTTCTGATGGCCCAATAAAGTGTTTGGGATCACACGTTGAAAGTTAAGGCCCCCGTCATTCCTTGCTCGCACAAGACACTCGAGAACTTCTGAGGGTTGCTCGTAAGGGGGCAACCGAATGACGGATAGAACAATTTTAGAACAACAATAAGAATCGGAGATTTTGTGACGCAGCCTTCGCAATCGATCTGACATGATTACCCCATCTGACGCATTATCCATAACTTTCACTGAATTTACTTGGATATTTGATGAATGCTGCTGTTCTGGCCATTCCTCAAGTAGTTCTGCCTTCATATTCACGTTATGATCAACAGAGGATTGCAATATGTTCGTCAGAAAACAAAGATTCAAAATCAATAATCCATTTATATTGCTGGCATGAAGGATTATGATTATTTTGCCATGTGGGTGAATCATTTTTTTGCTGTCATCTACCCAATCGTATATTGAGTATCAAAACACGTTTCGTCTAGAAAACCAATATGACTATTCGGTTCACGGTATACCTATACCTCGTATCATCTTTGGAAACGGAAGTGTATCAACTGACTTCATGAAAACTATACAACATTATCATAGGCATAGGCATCTTGTTCCAATGTATATTTTCAGAACGAATGCTATCAGGTGGGACCAAAATGTTGAATCCTTACCAATTTCACAGTGATTCCCAGAGAATCCATAGAAGCAAGCACACCTATCTGGTCCTATGCATCTTCCTCCGTTCTTGCATGGATCTGTGCATATTGCTGAAACGATACAAATGTGTGGAAAAACATTGATAATTATGTAGATATAAAAATATCATGTGAAATCTGTGAGTGAAAAAACTACAAATTCGAGTCAGAATCTCAGGAAGATTGAATTGAAAAGTTCTAGCGATAAAAAAAAGTTGTTGGTCCACTTCTTATGTTTGTATGTATTGTTGTTTTTCTACTCACGTTCTGTGCAGAATTCTCCTGAATAGCCTGTTGCGCAGACGCATTTTCCGTCAACACAGGATCCTCCGTTCATACAAATTGCTCGACATGATTTACCATCAGCTCCTGAAAAACAGTACGAAAAAGATAAAATTCTGGAATTTGGAATGCAAATTTCCTGACTTTGCTGAATACAGTGGACGACTTGCAAATTCTTTCATATTCTATTTGATGCTTGGAATTTATTTCTTTTTGTTATTCATATCTCCTAATCTGAATTGATACAGTCTATCTTTCACCATTTCTAAAATTTACACAGACACAAACAATACAATTAATGTTAACAAATTCAAATAGGTCAGAGTAACTCCATCAACATTGCTTATAAATCAAACCCCTCTTGATTTTTTAGCCATAGATTCGACAGTTAGAAAACTTTATATCACTTCTGAAATCAGTTAGCAATTTCAAATGCCTATGAAACGTGAGCATCAAAGCCTTTATCCAAACCATATCAGATTTTCTTACATGACGTTCAGTCGTCAAAATTAGTATCACTCACTGAAAGCTATCTCAATGGGATTGAATATCTCATCCATTTATCGGATATTCTAAGTAAGTGTCCGTTTTCTCACCAAATGGATCACTCAGTAGGAAGTTGAATTGACGATAAATCAGATTAGGTTTCTGTATGGATGCCGGGATGAAAGCCAACCATTGTTTCTTTCAATTAATTCTCTAGCACACACAGTAGATTGGTTCGAGTACCATGCGTACTTGATATTGCGAACAAATGCTCCATTCTTTTTTTTTCATCAATATTCATAATCCAGACTCATTATCATGATGAAAGCAGTGTCGGAATGGTTCTGACGAAACGGGACCAAAACACTGTCGCAGGTTTCCAATAAATTTCATTTCACTGTCAAAATTAGATACAATTTCATTCACTGACATAGTGTTGAAAGTGATTTAGGTGATGTTTCAGTTTCATTTAGTTTTATCATCAGTTATACAGGGTGTTCCGTGACTCAATGGCCATACCTTAAGGGCATATTCCTTCAAAAATTGAGTCGCTCCAAAAGATAAAAATAATCACTTTGTTCGAGTCACTGGACATCCTAGCTGTAATCAAAAGTGGATCAACTCTCATTATTGTTGGGTGTTATTCCACTTCCTCACGGTTCAAGAATGCGATGAGTTTGTAAAATTCATTCGAATTACTCGAATATGCTCGAATAATGATAATACGTACCTGAATTTGATCTGGGCTATTTCAATGACATAAGCATCTAAGACCTCTAAATTCAATAATTTCTTCTCAGAATTGGTCAGCTGAATGATAGTTCACACTCAGGGTACATATTCAGGTACATAGTGCTAGTGATCATTCAAATAATAATAAAAGTGGAATTTTGAATCGTCTCGCCCAATACCTACTTAATGGAAATCTGAAGTGAAAGTGAGAAACGACTCCATATCTATTTCTCGCATGAAATCTAGAGATGAAGGAAGTCAATTCAAATATTCCATAAACTCCTTAAGTACAGTATTTTCAGTAAAAATATTTGTCACTAACTATTTCCATCTATAGAACCTAAGAATCTACTACTTGATCCTGGAATCAATTGTATTCTCATTGAACCCTCTTGTTATATTAAATTTAAGGAGAAATGCATACTGAGAAAAAAGTTCAATTCTGTTTCTAGGGGGTAACGTGTTAGTATTTCACGTACTTAACACGTTCGAATGAACATGATATGCTTTTGTTAGATATAAATCAGCGTTATTGCATTTGAGCATACATTATACATTAGGAACATATTTGTGATACATTATTACCGTTCGCGTATATCTACTTTTTTTCTCAGTGCACATTTTCAATAGAATGATGAATTCATACCCTGTATTTGATTGTATCCTGGACAGCTAGAGGCCCTTTGGCCTCCATCACATAGGCACACATTTGGGGACACGCAATGTCCTTGTCCACATGTCCTTGAACACACAGCTGGAAAACTATCTCATTTAAATATTAGCACTAAAATAATAGTGATTCTCAATGAATCATGTATTATATAACTCAGTATCGAATGAATCATTTGATATTTCTCGAAATTGAACAGTAGGCAAGTTTCATACTGGCTGTTTTCACAATTGGAGCAATGAATAAATTGGGGTATTTTGTGCTTCCACGACCCTACTATATTCATCAAACTATCACTGTATACTTTAGAAAACATCGTAAAAGTAATTGTTACTTCCGGTGTTTCTCACATTGCCGGAAACAAACGCTTGGGTTCGGTCGTTAACCTCTGATCAATGATTCATAGTAATTCCGGGCAGACTAATAATACTATATCATCCGATATATTTTTATTTCGTCAAAATTTCATAATTGTTCACTTGTTTTTCGTGTTTTATCACTATTCATTGATCTCTCCAATTCGGAAAACACCCTGTATATATTCTCAATATGCCATATCCAGTGGAATAACATATGAAATGAAGGAATCTTGTGTGATTATCAAAAATCTGTTTGATATTCACTGAAATTGGGAATACAGGATTATGCAATCATTATATTATACAAGGTGTCCCTAGATCACATAGAAAAATTGTGAATCCAGATTCTAGGATCAAAAATGGTATAGAACAAGTTTAATTTATCATGGTCCAGAAATGGTCCAGAAATAGTCCAGAAATGGAACTAAAGCTATCTGAAGGCTATCCCGAGATCAGGGTTTTTGGTAGGTTTTTCAAAACCTTTTGTGATGAAATATCCAAATGTTGTGCTTAGTCTGAGAATGTTAAGAATAATTCGAAATTTTGATCAGCGCCGTAGGAAATTGGAGTAGTTAGGAACACTTTTCCATGCAACTTTTTTGTTTTCGCAATTTTTGGCAGTTTGATCAGGAAATATAGAAATCTCGACATTTTTATTTGGAAATTGTACTTCTTTTCAGATTCTATAGCATGCACGTTTCCGAGATTATTCTTATTATCATAATTATTTTTCAATTCGTTCTCTTCAGTGCACTTCGATACTTCGAATCACAACATCGCAGGTAGATATTGAAAGAGAAGGTATTTCCTATATTTGGGCAATATCGGACTTTCTCGATAAAAAAGCCCTATGTTCATCACGCTGCAGAATTTTGAATTTGGTTAACTGAACACGAAGGGTTTCAAAAATATTTACAAAAAATCTCCATTTCGGGCTTGCCTTCAGATGGCTCTAACCCGATGGAGCCATTTCTGATCCAATTTTTGTTTTCGTCGAGGTAGTTGAAATCCTTCATGAACATCATTAGGGTCCAATACCCCATTTGATAGTGTGGGAGTCCCCTGTCTCCAGGGTATACCTACTAAACACTCCACCTCGTTCGTTGGCTCGCCTGACTGATGTCTCCGACGACACTTAGGCCTAGTGGCCCAGTGTATCTTACCTACATGCCGTTATCAATTCCATCATATACGACTCATGGTACTCATTAAGGACCACTTCAATATGAAAGGCACATTTCTTTCAGGTTCCTAAAGATTACTCTTTCGATCCCTGTTCTCGTCTTCGAAGAAGGCCAGTAGTGTTCCTTCTCCTACGAGTGACGGTGGAAGGGGTTGGTCCAGCCCTGATGTTGTGCCCCCTGCATAGGACTAAGGCTGTTTACTCTGAGATGCGCCCTGTTTCCTAGAGGCTTCGTCAGCGACACCATACCTCGGTGCCATTCAACCATCGCCACGGGTTCTCACAGCTTGGATCAGGTTGCCAGAGCGTCGTTGACCAGTCCTCGGCCACCTAGACAGATATCAGCAAATCTCCCCATCCTCACCACAGATGTCCACAACTAATTGTTACATCTGGCTCGGAGATAGCAAAGATAGTCTTAAAATGCTTCATGTATCGAGCGGCCGCGGTCTATCCTCCCCACACCACTTGATGGTGAGGTTGAGCTTGGAGGGGAAGAGGAAAAGAGAAGTTGGCCAAGAAAGGCCGATAGGATAGATTGGAAAACGTAAAGAGGAGAGGATATCACCCAAGACAAGTTGAAGTTCGGTGAATATCCGGCTAGGGTACCTTCGGTTTACCATTCCCGTACTCTCAAGTTGTGAGCCCCTGAAGGCTTCTGGTCCCATGTTCATATACACCGTTTTTGTTCCTAGAATCTAGAGTTGGAATCTATCTATATAATTTCGGGGCACCCTGTATACATAATATACTGTGAGCCCCTGAAGGCTTCTGGTCCCGTGTTCATATACACCGTTTTTGTTCCTAGAATCTGCAGTTGAGATCCATCCATATAATTTCGAGACACCCTGTATACATAATATACTTTGTTGATGTGTGATCATACACCAACTGGCCATCAACCTCACTCGGATGTTCAAGAAGAAGAAGAAGAAAGTCTTTATTGTACTAAAAACCTAAAGTTTTTGTTGACAAAGCATGTGTATCATAAGCTATAACTAATATTAAAACTACATAAAATCATGTAAAATATGCACATATATAAGGAACAAAACATTTAAGTCGAACATATACTAGTAAAAGTCACACTATAAAAAAAGGTATTGAACAATTAAAAACGAATTATACAAACTGACAAACTTAATTAAATGCGTCTTCATAAAATTCTTGCAAGGTATAATAGGCTTTATTCAGTAGTAGCTCTTTTACTGCCTTTCTAAACTTAATATGTGTTAGCAATGAACGAATATGTGAAGGCAGGTGATTAAACATTTTTTTGGCATTATAAATAAAAGACTTTTTTATTAATGTACTTCTAGGAATTAGTAGGGAAACCGTACAGTCAACATTTCTTGTGTTGAATACCGACATCGAATGAATGTTCGTGGTATATTTTTTGTGGATCATACATACACTCTCTAGAATGAAGATGCAAGTCAATGTCAGTATTTTCTGAGTCACAAATAAGGGTTTACATGGTTCTCTGAATTTAGCTTTACTAAGGTATCTGACCGCCCTCTTTTGTAAAATGAACACAGAGTTCAAAAGAAATTGAGAACTATTCCCCCAAAAACAAACTCCATATCTCAAAATTGAGTCAATCAGGGCAAAATAAACTGATCTTGCTGCAGATATATTCAATTCAGCCAAGTGTGTTCTGTGTAGGCTCTTTTACTGACCTCATATGTCATACTGCAGATTCGAGATATGTATAGTTATCATTATTCTTCATTTAATTACATTGTGATGAATCATCCTCTAGAATCGAATTCTCATGAATATTCCAGAGATAATAATGAGTTTTTCTCATTTTGACGATGGACTAGAAAAATATCGTTCAACAAGGTATACCTACCTAAACAAATTCTCATGAATATTTCAGAGATAATAATGAGTTTTCCTCATTTCCACGATGGACTAGAGAAATATAGTTTTCAGACAGTATGTATACCTACCTAAACATAGGTATACTGTCCAGTTGTTGATGTCGGAAATACTCACGTATTATACAGAGGCCTAGAGAGTTGTGTTTTTCCCAACCTGGACAGCAGTACGTATTCGTCCTAGATCGGCAAACATTCGGTCTGGAACAAAAATCATGAAAAATAATGAAGTTTATTATGTTCGTGGAAAATTGTGCGTTATCTAGTTAACACAAATTTGATGGATAAGACTTTAACTACCATCTCAAACTGAGAAGGAGGGACCAATACCTATCGAAAGCCAACAATCCTGAATCTGGAGCCAATAACATCCGTTTCAGAAGTTGAGAAAAAATGTTTTGGCGGAGTGATGGTATATAACTGTCTTTAGGTTGATCGAAACTGGCTGAACATTTCCTCACTGAAAGTGAACAACATAATTATGGCAGAGTGGAATGATATTGAAATCATATAGGAAAGGCAGAACAACCAATAAACAAGAATCGAGGAATCCTCTTGCATTCTTCTGAACGAAGACATTAGCATTGCACAACTAAATACTGAACATGAAAATGGTAGATTTAAGATCCATCAATGGAAACATCCTGTAACTTATTTGTAGATCAACATTACTCATTCATATGGCAACATCAGTTTGTCATTGAGTGTCAAACTATACGAAGACAATTTTCAAAGTATTCGCGGGAATCAATGTTACCAGGTGGCGCTCGATTTTCATGGTTCCATGTCAAAGCCACGTCAAAACTGAGGGAAAACAAACTCAATCCTCACTCTATCCCATTAGTGCCATTAGCTTGTGTACTGTTTATAAGAGTGATAAGTTTTTAAATTAATTGACTTTGAATGTCAATATTCGATCGAAAACGCTAATAATGCCTGTTGTAGATGTCCTTTTGGCAGATATTTTGCTCTATTTAGATAAAGAAAGCCGTCCAGTAGTGAAAAGAGAAGCAGTTCTCCGTGCTAATCATGGAACATTTTTGCACTTTGTCTACAAACTTCGGCGATGATATCTTCACCACATGAAGTAAAATTGAAGTTGAGGTCCAGAGGAGTTCCAGTAGAACCATGGATTTGTATTTGTTCTTGCAAAGCAGGATAATCTGGGTATTGTGAACATGTTGTAGCTATTCTTTTATATGTCAATTGATTTGCTTGTTTGTTTGACTACAGCTACAGCAAGCTGAATGCAATGTAGTCTATGCACTTCATCCATAGACAACCGTTTGTTTTCCCCCAGTTTGAAGTTCGTATTATGTAACCTAGATGTCGCTCACTTCGTGAATCTCGCGAATAATATTCTACATTTCTCATATTGACAACAACGGGAGCAGATTTCTTCTCGAATCGTCCAAAGATAGGTTGAAATTCGATATTTGTTGATACATCTATATTTCTTTCGACTAGGAAGAGATTATTGGCCATGGCCCTCACAAAGAGGTAACCGTATACACGTGTTTCAGGCTTTCGGCCTCAGTCAGTACGATGGGAGGAAGTGGAAAGGATAGGCAGCACTTGATAGAAAACGACACAAAAAATAGACGGAGTCAACAAACAGAAGTCAGCCGCACATTTGTGGCTTCAGTCAGCAGACCCTGAGGTCTCAAGGCTACAACTAACGTCACCACGGAAACAGCTTTAGCTACCTGCGTGATATCCATGTCCAGGAGTACAAACAATAAAATGGAATATTTGGTAGAAGTCCATATTGCTCAAAGTGGAGTGAAATATTTCACAGGAAGGAAGGAATGCTCGGAGTCATCTCCACAAATTTTAATGATATTTTTAACTAATTCATGAGGGACATGTTTCGGTCTTATAAAAGACCATCTTCAGCCTAATTGAAAAGTTTGGAGTTGAAAAAATTATTTTCTGCCAATGCCAATAGTCGAGAGTTCCAAAATGAAAATTGAATAAACGGGTTCTCAAAAAATGAAGGGCCCCGTGCCCTGAGAGCGTATACTAAGTTTTATTAAAGAACATTTCATATACCCAAAATGGTATATGAAGGGTATTGTCAAACAATTTAATATCTGACAACACCATGAACTAGCGGGTTTTTAAAAAAGGGGTTCCCCGTTCCCTTATGAAGGCCTTATTTAAAGCAAATATCAATAAAATTGATGGGGCAAGCAGCCAGCACGTGTTTCAAATCTAAACTCCAGGACTCTCTTTTATAAGACCGAAACATGTCCCTCATGAATTAGTTAAAAATATCATTAAAATTTGTGGAGATGACTTCGAGCATTCCTTCCTTCCTGGGAATAAGATGGAAGTAATATAGAGGGAACTGTAAAGTGACTAGGAAGAGATAATTGGTCATAGCCTTCACAAAGATTAGACGTGTGTATATACGTGTATCTCTTCGTGAGGGTTATGTCCAATTATCTCCTAATAGTCACTTCACAGTTCCCTTGATATTACTCCCATTTAATATTTCTTTTCTTCAAACATTTCTGAAAACACAGTGCCACTGAAAAGCTATAGGATTTTTCTATCAAGGCTCTCTGAGACTGCCCTACACTCTTCCAATGAGTTCAAGGATTCAGTGAGAATGGTACCACCAACCAGGTGAATGGCTCGCCCTAGGATAAAATAGGAATGATGGTACCAGACATTGTAACATCAGGCATACTGCGTTCGCATAATATTCTAGGCAACACACAACTTTGTTCAATGAGCACGGAATGAAAGTGATTTCCTACGAGAATGAAGTTTGCAGCATGAGTCATAGGTGAATGCTGCAATCATTCGAGTAGGAAATTAGTATTCTGTGCAAGTAATCCACTATAATTTTTCTAAGGTTGTAACAGACAACAGCGGCATTTTCGATTTCTTTGGCTTGTAGCCATCTGATTTCCTGTCAAGTAATGCTCATCTATTAGACAGATCCTAGCTGTCATTGCTTGCAATCTGACATTCCATGAGCGATGAGATTTTTTTGAAATTATAACACGATATCAGATACGGGAATGAAATTGATGACATACAAAGTACCTCATTGATGTATCGAACACAGCAAAGCAAGAGCAATTTCGTGTTATAGCCGTAGAAAATATACTATACAGGCTTGAGTTTTGGTGGTGTTGAAATCAACTAGGTTGCTGTTTCCTCAGTCTGTAATCTTACAACGACAGCGTCGACATGCCCTCGTCGTGAGTTCTCAGTTTCCCGAATAGATGATTGAAATGGAACAGGAACTGTTATTGCCAAAATGAATCCTTGTGGACGGCACTCTATCTCAGAGAAAACTCGATAGAAGAAGGTTTAGCTGGTAAGCTGTATGAAGGCCTTGGTCTCCACTATCGAATACTCTCGGTATATCTAACAACACAGCTAGAGATTTCCTATGTTTTTCTGATGAGGAGCTTGCCTACTAGAGAAAACATAGGCAAGTTAATCCACAGTTGATTTCTAATGGCAAATGTGATATTGTCTATATGATTGCTGAGCTTTCTAGATGTGTGATAAGCTCAATGTTGATGGCTTCCCTCATCACCTTGGGGATGAATGATGTTAGAGCGATAAGCCAACCTGAAGTTGGGGGTCAGATTTTCCTTTCATTGTGGTTGGACTCATACTTATTTCTCAGTAGTATGGAAAATTAACCGACTTTGGTGGTAAAAAACAGTTAGGTACAATACTCTTGTTGAAAATGTTCTTTCATCGTATAAAATAATGGTTTGCAGTATGTCTCTATATATAAATATTCATTCCCTACTATCACATCTGGACTTTTCCAAACAGGTTATTTAACATACGAAAAATCAAGAAAAGGTATGGCATATATGGAAGCGAACGCTCTCCAAGACAATGAAATCGAATTACCCTCATATTAAACAATGCATCTCACAAACAATAATCTACAAGAAACCACCCCTAACTTTGGTTTCCCAAATTGTTTCACTATGATTTTTCGATGAATCTTGTAGAACTTTTCATTTTCAATTCAGTGATATATCGGACTAAAGCAAAGAATTCATCATCAGGAATTTTGAATAATTTCAGGAATTTTTATGGAGAAATATTGATTTATTCCTGAATGATTGTTTGAAATTGCTGCACTCACCTTATATCGCCTATTCAGACCTCGGGTTAACCTCTGGTTTTGTTTTTGAGGAATAACTAGGTTCAACAGTAAGTATAACAAGCCAGCAGAATCATTCACTTCATTATGATTTCGATCAATCGTGATTTATAGACTATTTGAGACATGGGGATGTGATTTGAAGAACCAAAGTAAGGGGTGATTTCTAGTAGGTTATTCGACACAAGGGTGATTTCACCATTTTGCTGAGATTCTGATTCCATGAATTCCCCAATATTTTGAAATTTGTTGTATGCTACATAACTCAGATATCTGTTGGCCTCAAAGCGCTTGGAAACCGGGTATATCAAACAATGGAGAAAAGCTCTCGCCTACAGCTTTTGCCGAATTTCGCATCTTCGGTATCAACAATAGCAGCAATCATCAAAGGCTCATTAAAGAATATACTGTGATTATGTGGAAGGCAATGAAGGCATAGAGTGGGCTAAATAAATTTGAGAATCTCAGCTCTAACCGGTGACCTAATAATCAACAAATTTGTCAAGGTCAATACCATCTCCTCACCCAGCTCCACTATGTCATCTCGTTGATGTATGCGTTCTGGTATTCGTATCAGGAAGATTACATAATAGTGTCGGAAAGACGTGGGCGAGTAATATGCCTCACCAACAGTTTACACGAATTATATGAATTGCCCGAATATGCCTAATGGAGTAGAATGTATGCCATTTCATGTCGTCCTTGATGATAGTTATCATGTAGTTATGATTTAATGTGTTGGAATCAGAAGAGACGCTTGTGGGTGTAAAACATGAATGAATTTTTTACAGTCGTCGGTGAGAGGGATACTAGTAGACCTAAAAATAATTTCATTTACTGTGCTGCGAATTTTGAAGATTTGGCGAATGAGTGGGAGCGAGTCCACCAATAGCTTCGAAAGTTCATTGACAAATAGCATTTTAACACGGAACTGTTTCTGTGTATGTATGTTTGTAACCGAATCTTCGAACAACTTCAAAACGTCGAATTAAACTGAAATTTTTGATGATAATAGCATAATTCGATATAATTCTCCTATTATCCTGATAAGGATCTTCGTGTTTTTGAATGTATGACAAATTTATCAGACTGCAAGAAGAATGCAAATTCTCAACTTTTCAACTTCAACTTCAGATTTTAAATTCGTATCGTGTTTGTTCAATAGATATAATTCAATGTTCGTCGTGGCATATAGCCAGAAGAGTAGTTGTTTTCTGTTGAATATACCGAGAAAGAATTAATATTTCCATCACATATATAGAGAGTGCGACTTCTCAATGCAATTCTTTTACATATCCATAATGTTATGTTCTCAATATATCTGAGAATATTACTTTTCAATAAGGATCTTCTTCTTTTCTTATCTTGCACCAAGTACTCGTATGAAGTAATTACATCCAGAGAGATGGAAGTTTCTTGCTTCAAGTAGGTACTCGTACAGAAAAGATGAATTATAGTTACAACAAAATTGAATAACGCTATCGTAGTTGGCCGAACTGAAAAATAGGAAATAAATAGGAGTTCCAGAAACTGGATAAAAGATACTCTTATAGATAGCCGAAATGAAAATTAGAAGATAATAATGTTCAATATGTTTGAAACACGAATAGAGTAAAATAACTAGTAGAATTTTGATAAAGTGAAATAAGTTCATTCGTATTTTGAACATATCAAAAATTGATATTTCACTCCATTCGTGTATTGAACATATTGAAAATTATGATTTTAAACTTTTTGGTTTGGCTAATTGCCTTGAAGTGATTCTACTCTATTCGGTTTTTGAACATATTGGGAATAATTATTTTCTACTTTTCATTCTCGCTTTCTATAAAAGAGGCTTTCGTTAAAGTTTTTTGACCTACCTAATATGCATTCTCTTCACGACAGATCTCTTGTACAGGTAAATTATATTTCTCATTTTGGTACATTTCGATTTGAGATTGTCAATATTGCTGATGCTATCAGGTAATAAATATTTATGCGCTTCAGAGAATAGAAGAAAACTTTCAATCCCTCATTTGGGAAACCAAAGTGCCACTTTTTATCCCTCAGGAAGAACGCTTCAAACGCACATAATCGATGTCAACAACAATATGATATAACCACCCATTATTCAGTACAGTCGACATTTTGAAACTAGTGTATCGCTGTGAGTACAAGAGTACGATTATTTCCTTGATTATTTCTCCTGAAGTGCATAAATTGGTTGTATAAACTGGTGTCGATGAAGATTTTGCGGAAATCTCAGCCAACAAAACTCAAGCCTGTATTAGAAAGGCAGAACCCAGAATGCATGATGTAACAATGTCTGATACCACCATTCCCACGTAGGCCACTATATCTATGCTCGGTATTACCATGTATTACAATCAGTGATACTCTCTTATGGAAAAATCATGTCAGATCCATTGCGAAAGCTGCTCCACAAAAACGTTTATTCTTGTTTCGTGCAAAAATCTGCTTTACACCCCAGCAGATGTTCATGATCCTAAATCTAAAAAGTACAGATACAGCCAGTTCTAGAATAATCTTCTCATGTATGAGGTTCAGCACCCAAACATACGCTGATGATGTCAGATTCTATCTAGAGAAGAACGATTTGCCGGGTGGGTGATGTAAAACTAACTCTTCGACCTCATTAGAATACCGTAGGAAAGTCGACGACCTTTCACATTTCTATAGCTACTTCCTCGGGAAATGTTCCTCAGAAATCTCTGCTATCATTCAGGCCCAGTCATTACATCCTTCCGTCTTCAAACTTGAAATATGCCGAACAACACCCTACCAAAACACGAATGCACTGCATGTATACAAATGAATCTCTTCCGCTGGCGAGAAGTTCATCATCTGCAGTACTCCATGGATTGAATACTGGATACTGAACGTCTCAGATGGAGTTTTTGTAATATTGGTTCACTTTCGTTTCGAGTAAATTCTGTATTTTTTTAATTTTCTGGTTCCCACGAGAAGGGATACCCTGTAATGTTCAGAGAACATCGTGACAACCATGGGAAGTGAGGTAGGAATTGGTTTTCGTCTTAAATTTTTTGGAGGTTATATTTCTCGGGGAACACCTCTCTTGGCCATGTGTTCCAGAGCCTTGCTGTTCGTTGGATAAACGAGTCTTTGGAAAGAGATGTTGTGCAGGTCTCCAAAGTGACCACGAAGGGGTGCGAAGCCTCAACTCGACTGGTTAATATCGCGGGGACTACCAAGGGAGGAACAATTGTTGATATTCCAGAAGAGCATCGTCCATGAAAATATCTATAGAATAGAGCCAGATCGCCAACTTTTCTACGATGTTCCAGAAACGTGAGTGAGTTTGTGAGCGAGGTATCACCCACGAGACGAATTGCCCTTTTTTGGTCAGAATCCAACAGTTTCAGTGTATGTTTGAGTGCTGCACTCCAAATATGGGAATAGTATGGATTTTGTTTCGTGTTCTATGTCATCTAAACCTAGTGAAGAAATCGAAATTATCGATGGTCTATTGATGTGTCAAAAAAATTAAAAATTCTTACCCTCCTGGTGGCAAAGACTCGTGTTGTTCAGGTTCGTTGGGGGGTTGTTGGAAGCGACTCCGATGTCGACTGCCGTCCGCATTCGACGATAAAAACCATATAAACACCATGTACCCTTCTACCCTCATTTCTCACCGTAGAAACTCCAAGTGGAGTTTCTCTCGATTGAGGGACCTGAAATAAAAAAAAAAAAAAGTTCATTGGAACTACGATTGGGAGAATGAGAGGAAATTCTTCAATGTTTTTTCGGAATGGCAACTTCTTCACATTTGGATCCTCTGAATGGTGAACATATACAGGGTGCTAACGAAAATAATGAGTATATCGAAGTCTTCAAATCAACTGGAAATTCCTTATGACGTCATTAGATACTTTATTTCCAAGACTGAGAATCTCACGTCAATTCTTCAGATATCTCTTTATCGCCCAGAAACGATTGAACTGACAAAAACGCCTTGAATATTCATAAATATGAGTCCAAAAATTGAACTGGAAAATGATTAATTATCATGGGGCCAGTAAATAGTCGAAATTGCCAAGTCATCTTCAATTTCAAAATGAAACTTCTGTTTTTGAGTTGGCAAACGATCGAAGCGAGGCTGATATTATTTCGAACAAGCAATACGCAATACTACAATATTAGCTAGTTCTGTAACGCGGAAATTTGCGTAACGATGTGATTTTACAGAACTTGCATTTCCTAATAGGTATGTCACATGAATACCATATTTCAAATCACTTTTGATAAATATTGACTTTTGCTCTTCACTCGCAAAAAAGGAGTGAGAATAAGGAATGGGCTACTATACAATTCCTGACGAGCCGAGTAAGTTGAACAGCAGGAAAATTATCGTCTCGTCTATATTTCGAACTGTAAGACCGCGAGATGAAAAATCCAATATATTAGAAAAAAAAATCAATATATTGAAAAAAAAAACCAAGATATTGAATTCTTGTGACATACCTATAAGGAAATGCAAGTTCTGTAAATTCACATCGATACGAAAAATTACGCGTTACAGACATAGCTACTATTGTAGTATTGCGTATTGCTTGTTCGAAATAATATCAACCTCGCTTCGACCGTTTGCCAACTCAAAAACACTTTGACTCTCTATAACGATATATATCATCCTTTCCCTTTCAATTTTATGTATTCAATTCTACATCTGAATTTCTGTTGAAATGGGCTATATTTGCATGCAAATTGAAATAACCCTTTAGGTACTATTTATTATACGACTCTTGGGCGAATTGAAATATTTTTGTCTAAGCACATGTACTATTCACTGTCTAGAAACGAGCTGCCTCCCTCATTAGCATTTTATGACCTGCTTCGCGCTGTAAAGGTATTATATAGGGTATACCCAGCAGTATACCCAGAGGTGTTATAATTATTATTCAAACTTGAGAAATAACAATGACATAGTTATTTCTTGGCAACTACAATGAAATAAATAGGAATTGATCTGGACTGCTTCACAATCATTCAGTTTTGATGAGAACGATATAATATTATCATAACAAGAATCCAATCTTGAAATAAAGGGATTTAAGAATGTGTAAATTTCAACAATCCACAATTGATTAATCAAACCTCTCAGCTCTCGAGCTATAGGGTGTTGGAATTTTTAGGCAAAAATTATTTCATTATAATAACTTCAATATACTGTCTACAACAAATTTCAGGGCATATGTTCACATGAACTTTTTTCTCAAAATGGAGTGAGGAACCATACCCCTTATCATTAACCATCAATTGAATCACACCCTGTATAACCAGGAGAAAACGATCGATAAAATTCTAATAAAATAATAAAGATATGGTACTAAACTATATAATTTCAGGTATCTTCAGGTAACCCATTCATTTTCAAAATTATGATGAGTTGAATGAATCTCTCAAAAATCTTGGGTATATCCGAGGGTAAATCTGACATAGCGCACTTCCGAATACGGGAAGTAAATTGAATTCCCTTATTTCTGATAGAACACCACATTTTACAGATATGTTTGAAGTAGTTCTCAATAATAATTTGTCATTACCCAGTAATGCCATGGTAAACTACATTTTCTGATGAAGTATTTAAAAATAATAAATCGGTTTTTGGGGCACCTTGTGTTTTAAGATAATGAAAATAGGTACCGGTATGTTTTAAATGATCCTGCTGCAAAATCCATCGATATTTTAAGTGAAAAACTGTCTCATAGTACTTTTTGAAATTTGGGTCAATGAAATTGGTCACCGTTGGTCATGAAAACAGTTCAAAAATAAAATCATTTTCTGGTTGGATGGGCATTTCGATTACCTATCCAACAAATACATTGTTCTCGGATTCTATCATATTATTATAGTAACAGGGGTGGTAAGCTCTTGCTGTGGACACACTGTATATGAAAATTAGAATTGAAAGAATCTCTATCTGGCAATAAAATTCCAATCAAAATGTTTAAATGTCACTGTTGAAAATGATACATTAAAAAAAAATATCAATGGTGAACACTTCAAAATATGAATTGAAAAATGTATCACGGTTTATATCATAGAATAATGAAAATGGGTCGAGACTCCGAAAACAACAAACACTGTCGCCGGCGACTCCTGTTTTCAAAATGTTTCTAAAATGTCTCTGAAAAGTAGTAAATTTGTTGATATCGACAAGAAATTCTTTCTTGTTGCTGTTTTGTCTGTTTGGTGTAGATCCAATATTATAGACAAATAAATCTCGGAAACTACAAATTGATATCAAATAGAGATGAAGAGTTGTAGTATTTAAACATGCACTGTTCATATAGAACGAATTGAATATTGTTTTATTATAATTTCAATGGTATATACATGCATACGATATTTCATAAATATAATATAGGTTCGTAAGTTCCAAGAGATGAAAAAATTACGTTTCGTTACGAATTTTGAATTTAATTCTACGACAGCATCCTACTCACGTTTGATATTTTGATTATCATTTATTGAAATGAATATAATCATAAACACATTCTCCTCGGACAACATTCCTGATGAGATTTGCTGATTTTTGCTAGAATTTACAAACCTAATTACAGTATGTGCAGTTGGAAACCGCAAAAACATCGTATTTTTCGGAGCGATGACCGCTCAGAAAATAAAATAAGTATGGTAGGTTTATAGTGACAAATGAAAATGGCTATATCTATGAGGGATAATCGACTATAGAGAAATTCTGCGTTATTCGAATTTGGTAATTTCATAATACTATATACTATTCCAAATGGTTCCTCACTTGAACTGGTAAAAAAATATTCGAAATATCAATTATTAATTATTATTTATGATCCCAAAACTATCAACTTCTGTGATATAAAAATATATATCATATTTTCTCTACAATCAACGTAAAATCCAAGAATGTAATAATATTTCAGGTGCCCCTATAGAAAAAAATGAACTCATTTGTCGCAGCGCTCTTTTGAGAAACTCCATATGGATAAATCTTAAACCATCGAATAGATTGAATCAATCCCCACAGCTTATGCATTCAACAGTTTTTGTAATACGTAAAATAAAGAAGTTACAAGGAGGGCGACCCCTACTATATACATATTACTTATATGAGACATTTAATAAATTTGTGTTAGCTAGATTGAGTAAATTTGTGATATATTTCCTCGTTTTTTCCATCAAGAATAAATCTAATACGAGCAGTGAAGCTCATATAAAAAATGACATTATGAAAATTATTGCGAATGACTAATAAGTGACAATGACAAACTATCAATAAACGCCTTGAATGAAGGTAGCAGACGAATTGGTCATACAGATTGTCCAGAAATTACACTCAATACTATAGTGATTTCAAAAATGGAAAAAATAATCTAGTAATTGATCTAGAACTTTCACTCCAATCAGAAAAAATATCAATAAGCCGGGTGATTGATTAGTGTGATAAAGTGCAGTATCTTCTATGTCGTTTGTGATATCAAATTGTCAATTTGAGAGATTTTAGCAATATATAGTCTTGATGTCTTGAATCATTCACTGTATCACAGGGTGACAGGACACTGTTCTGAATCAAAGTAATATTTTTGTGAATATAGGAGATGAGAGAAACTGAACTTCATCAGACCTAATCAATCACCCTGTACTCCAAATTTATCTGCACGGTCTATCGAAGCCTAAGTATTATACTTAAAAATTAGAATTTCCGGAAGTAGATAATCGCGTTTGTAAATAATAGGGTGTATACCGTTTTCTTATCGCGCATGCTGATGAGAATTAGTTCTTATTTCATTAATAGAAATACCATCGAATCGAGAGATACTCTAGCGAAGTGAATATTTACCCCAAATCTTAGAAAATATTCAGAGATACACCAGACTATCTCGTACCACAAACCACAATAAGAAATTAGTTATTGAAACAGCGGGCGGTTGGAATAGATATTAGTCCGGGCGCATAAACCGAAATTTTAAAAGGATTTTCACACGAGTCGTTACCTATTTAATGGGCTCCACTGTACATCTATACTGTTCATTTGAATGTCTTATCATGTTATGATGATTTTTCAATATATTGGAAATATTTTCAATATATTGGATTTTTTTTCCAATATATTGAATTTTTTTCAATATATTGAATTTTTTCCAATATATTGGATTTTTTCCAATATATTGGATTTATTTAAAAAAAAAATTATAATTGTGTGACCCCTAAACGCTTTCGTAGAAACCTGGTACATTATTTTTTTATTATTATTATTCCTCTTCAAAGTTACATGTTACACTCTGTCGTAGGTAATCTGTCTGAAAACAAATCAAATGTAGTGCAGTAGGTAGTTTCGTAATCTCGTTTATGGTGTAACAGGTGCATATTCAATAAGCACAGGACCCATTTAGTGGGTTAACTTTGTTGACACCTTCCATGTCGTAAATCAACCAGAACGCGGTTAGACTCGACCATAAATCGATCACCATTTATGTTCGAACAGGTAGATGCTGTGTAGAAACAAAATGAAGCAATTAAATATAACAAACGAACACTTTTTCCGGATGAACTGAATTATTTATGAGACATTTTTATGTGCTTCACAACGATATGCAATTTGTCGATCATTCGAGTTAAGTATCTTTGCATATAGAGGGTATTTTC